CAAAGCCTCTCGTTTTCATGTTATTTTAATGACATCATACCAGGGCTCACATACTTCATCAAAGTTTACTGCATTTGCTTATTGCAGAATTTCTACTTTCACACCCTTCAATTGTTATTAATTCCTGTTTTGTCATGAGAGGCTCCAGCGTGCAGCTTTGATCCGTTAGAGCTGCCAGCTGCTGCACTCTGATCAATAGATGTACAGTCACATCAAACCGGCCTCCTCTGTCAGACTCTTATTCAGCTTTCCCTGTGTGCTTCCCCTTCCCATTCACACGTTTTCTCTGTCTCATTGCGTGCCTCCTTGTCTCAGCTTCTCTCCTCGTCTCTCCGCTCGCTGTCTTTTATCCTCCCTCCACCCGCATCACCGTTTCTCTCCTCTTTGCATCTTTGTCTTTGGCACTTCCATCCTTACAATCTCTGGGGTGAGCTGGAGTGGAGGCAGCAAGGCCAAGGCTAAGTGTGTGTGTGTGTGTGTGTGTGTGTGTGTGTGTGTGTGTGTGTGTGTGTGTGTGAGTGTGAGTGTGAGTGTGAGTGTGAGTGTGAGAGAGAGAGAGAGAGAATTGGGTCAGTATGCTGGTATGCAGCAGTATAAAGCGGTGGAGCCCAGAGAGGCAGGGGCAAGGCACAGCCCTGGCTGTCATGTGCTGCTGCTTACTGCTGATTGATCATTTCTCTCCCCGGCATTCATCTCATGTATGTTGAAGAAGTGTGCATCTGTGTGTGTGTGTGTGTGTAAGCAAGTCTTGAAATGGACTTGTGTTTATATGTGTTGAGTTTCTGCATCTGTCCGAAAGCTTCCAGAGGTAGATAAAGGTTGCGACCTGCCTGTTTTTCACTTTCTGTCCACTTACCTACTCACTCTGCCAGTTCAAATGTCACCTCAGATCTTCACATGACCCTTCGCCAGGGGTCATCCATCCCTCATTACCACAGCTCTACTACTACCTAACGCCTCACCACACACACACCTGACCTTTTGTAGAAGCAAACCACGGCACCCAGCAGTTCTCTCCCTCCCTCACTGTGTGAACTAATAATACGAAACCGAGTTTGTTTTGCACCTACATGGCTGGTTAGAAGGCACGTCGCTCAATTTAAGCACTCTGTTGTGCAATGGCAGCTTGCAGTGGATTGACCTGGTTAGAAAGCCAGCCAGGGTTTTTGAAATAGTTGCTAAGTGTGATTGATCGTGCATTAATGTGAAAGATGTAGGGAGGGAGAGGCTCTTTGTGTTCTGGTCAGTCAGGATGCAGTGGATACGAGCCTTGTAGGAAAGAGTATGGGAAGCAGTACTCCCCTGTTGTCCACACCGACTCTGTGGGCAGACCGCTGACGATACTGCTGAGCATTACTGCTCAATCCACCCTAAAACATGAATCGCTGGTTTCCTAACAGGACAACTGTTTTTAATTTATGCACATTACAAACCTGGATCCCCTCCACTAATGGTGAAACGTTGTGGACATTTGTGACAGCACCTGAGGTGTGTTTTCTTTAACTGGCACCGTGGGCACAGTTTCTAGTTTATACCTGCTTGTGAAATAATTCTCATTTAATGGGAAAGTTCACTTTCTGCTAACCCCTTATGTCAGCACTCAGTTTAATAGAGCACCTCGCTCATTGAGCTCCTAGTGTTGAGTGAGATTTCTCCACAGCACTGTTAATTGAGCCCTCGTAGAATAGTGTATTTTGTTTTAGGGTAGATTTTAACATAATGTCTCCGGCTCTGTAGGCAGTAAGTCAGTCAGTGGTTTAGTGCAGAGCTGGAGAGAGGCCAGCGGCACATCTGGCCATGGTTAAGAGGAGCTGTGATGGAGGAGTGGAGATGGAGGCCAGGGAGGGCTGAGTGATAGCTCAGTGCCTCAGATAACCCCTCCACAGCCACGCCTAGCTGGCTGCTTCAAGAGGCCCTTCAGGGCCTGACTGCAGCCCTCCTGTGACTGACCCATACCCATTCAAGGATCAGAAAACGTAGTTGTCAACAGTTTTATAATTTAGGAAAATGCTTAACATTCGCTTTTTCCTGCTTCTCAAAATGTGAGGATTTTCTTTTTTATATCATTGTAACTCGAATATCTTTGTTTTGGATTGCTGATCTGACTCGACCTTTGGCTCTTCGAACTTCTCACTGTGTTCTGACATATTTTAGCCTAAACAATGGATCAGTTGATCATAAAAATAAGCAACAAATTCATCAATAATGAAATTAATCATTAGTTACAGTGCTATATAGGACAGCTGGCCTTAAAAAAAGCAGAGAGCCTAAATTGCTGTCATGTGGTCAAGCAGGGGAGTGTCTTTACTTACTTTGATCCCTCTTCATGTAACCAAATGATCCTTGTTAAATGTCATTGTGGATGAGAAGAGCGTCATTTACAGCTGAGAGGGCTTGAAGAGGTCTCCAATATCCATAATAAGTTAATCTTTGTGTAGTTGTGTAGCTGTAAGGATCCAGCCTTGTGTGGTGTGAGCTCTACCAGCAGAGCCACATGGGCACCCAAAATGATTGATGTATTAATTGAGGAAATACTCTCTTAAAAGAGACTTTTAAAATGGTTCATTTACGCTCACATTGAGAGAACATGGCTGAGAATTATACTGGGTCTGATGTTGACTTTGGTCCTGATTCTGTTTGCCAGTTCCTCCTAGAATAACTTAGTTAATAGTAGATTTGCAGGATCTATTGAGGAAACTTGGCAGCACCCTTCCTCCAAATATAACTTTCCAAAAACTTCATTTGTACTGATCCACATCATTTGTAATGACTCGTGCACTATAGTGTCAACCCCAAAGTACCTGCTCCGAGTTTTCCTTATTTCAAGGACAATGGATGGATGGTGGGAGGGGATAAAAGCACGCCAGGGAACTTGTGTGTGTGATCCAGGCACTCATCTCATTACTCATGTCCTAATGTTGTCTAACCTCAGTTGTTTTGTGGTATTGAAATGCAATAACCTTGTGGCCTAGATAAACAAATCTCCACCCAGAAGTTGAGAGACATTTGGGTTTATACGACCATAAATCCTTCAGGCTCACAGAGGAGGAATCACAGCAAAGAACACTTTGCACATTCATATCCTCACCTCCCAGTATCTTCCAAATCAAGTCTGTAAATCATAAAGAAACCCAATTTAAACAGGCATTTTTGATAAGCTGTCATAGGTTTTCATACATTTACTAAGGCGCTATCTGCTGTAAAATTGTAAGAATTTAAAGTTTTGGTTTATTGACAGCCAAAACGGAGATTGATGGCATTGTTATTGAGTTATCTAGATGGCCTCTCTGTGACTCTATGTTGGATCAAAGAAAGCTTTGTCTCAAAATAGTATTAATTTAAGGCTGAAAGCTGGAGAGCAGAGACAGAACTGGCTTCTTGTTTCTTCAGTGTCTTTGTCAATGTCTCTTTATTGCCCATATTTGTGACTGACAAAGCGAAACCAGTCATCCTATATGGACAGTAAAATATGACATTTAAGCTCTACAGGTGCAGTGTTTCCACTCGGTTTTATGGGGTTTGTAGGTACAAACAAAATGGTGATTCTTTCAGGATATTACTAATGTAAGGTTTTTAGTTACTAGAAAATTCCAATAACATATCACATATAATACTCTTCATACGTATGCTTTATTCTTTTTAAGCACCAGATTTGAAGAGGTGTGTCTGCATGACCGGATTCATCTGCAGAGGGACAATGATAGTGGAGAAATGATGTTGAAATGAAGGATAGTCCTAATGCAGGTGGGTGTGAGGTTACACCTGTGACCTGCGAACCCAGCAAAGACTGCGTCAGCGCCAGCCGCTGGTACGTGGGGAGCTGACGGCCGTAATGTCAGCGTCAGTGTTGTTTTTGTAGCGGCGACCCCTGGGATCAAAGTGAAGAGGATTAAAGGCATTGTAAAGTGTCCCTCTTATCCCCCTCTCCTGCCCAGTGAAAAGAGAGGGCCCCTAAGCCAGCATGGCTTTTATTGTCATAATCCATACAGTTTCAATTGACTATGGAATGCACTGGCTAAGATGATGGTGTTGGTGGGGGGGTGTCCATGTATGGGACTTAGTTGTGCTTTTACATGTGTCCTCCTCCTCCAGCCATGCACAAATGCACAGTGTATTGGCGTGTGTGTGTCTGATACAGTGGCTGCAGTGACCAGCACAGTCGCACTGTCTCACTGCAGTGTTGTCCTAGAGAAGAATGGGGGGAATACCCGTACCCATCCGGGCCAGCTCCCAAAAAAGTCCCATGTTTTATCTCCTCTCAGAGTTGGGGGTAGGAAGGAGGGGTGGGGGCGGAGAGAGGCCTCTATTTCGGTCCTTTGTTTATGTAAGGAGTGGCACGGGGGTGTTAGGAGAGCAGAGAAGTCTGGGAATGTTGGGTCTATATAGCTTGGGAATAACATGTTCATCTGTGCTGTGTACTGTATATAGTAAGTTCATGTAGGGTGTGGGATACATGTGTCTTGAGATTGGGATCTTTGTGGATAGGAGCAATTAAATAATTGATTTTAGTTGATTGATTGCCATGTGAAATATCAATTGACAATTTTATTTAAATTCATCTAAATTTCATTTAAATTCAGTATTCATTTGTTTGAGTAAAATAATTACAATTAGGAGTGCAACTACAAATGTTTTAATTATCAGTTAATTTGATCTGACGACATCATCCTGGGCTTTGTGAAATGCTGATTGACATTTTTCTGATTCGTTAATTAATGGTGAAAATAATTTGCATATTCATCTGTAATGAAAATAATAATTAATTGCAGCCCTACATACAGAGTGTATAGAAATCCAAACTGACAACTTGTAAATTGTGCATTTATATGCAACTTCCTATCACACACTTGAATGCATTTGCACTTTCTGGCAGTTTCTGGCAGTAATACGTGCACAAGCTCCCTTAGATCATTAATCATCACCCAGTTGACAGTTAATAACAGCACAACGAGTTTGCCATGTGGAGTGTGAGCGCTCACCTCTGTTTTGTTTCTTCACAGGGACGACACGTCAAGACTGGACAGCTGGCTGCCATCAAGGTCATGGACGTCACGGAGGTGAGGCTGAACTGTATATTGTTTCAGCTTGGACATCACAGTGTAAAGCATGTGCAGCGATCACTCTGTGAAGGCTGCAAAGTCATAAGGAAATAAAGGCAAACAATAATGAGATATAAAACAGTTAGCTTTACAGAACTTCAAGTGATGATGGCGCTGTAGAGGAATTTGATTTTTCAACCTCAGATTGATTTTTCTTTCCTGCCATTATATTATAAATACTGGTTTGTGTACTAAAAATGTAACATAGTCAAATGTGGAAATTAGATGCTCTTTGGGAACAAAATACTTGGAGATATTTGAGTCTTTGCTCTTATTATCTGGTTAATATTAGAAATCTATCATCATTCCATCACAGAGAAGAAAATGCCATGCTCTTTAATGAGTCCCTCACCCTCATAATAAACAGCAGGGGAAGGGCAGAGGCAACAGGATGCTTTTGAGTGAAGTGCGTCATTCATCGGCCAGCAGGCTGCCCTCAGCTGTGGGAGGTCCTGTCTGCAGATGAGAGAAGGCACACAACCACACATGCACACATGCCGAAACACAAAGCAGAGGGTTTCAGAGCAGCAGTGAAGGCCAGCGGGGCCAACCACCCACACAGCCATAATAATGATGGAGGAATATAGGCTTAATCATACTGTACACACACACACACACGCATATGTGCAGTATCATCTTCCCTGGGGGAGCAAAATCAAAAGTCATCAGCTACATTTCACCAATGCATCACTACCTTTTTTATAAGGACGCATTTAACACACACTCCCAACTGGTGTACCCCACAGTGATCACCATGAGCCTGACAAAGACTAGTGACGCAGAAGCTGATAGCCTCTGTGCCCTGACTTGTCTGCTGCCACTCCTCACACAAGCCTACGTCATGATGAATCAGTTATACACTCGACTGATTAGCTATCATGTGTAACCACCAGTACAGAGAATATTACCCAACTGTTTCCTGTTCTGTGTGACAGACACAAGGTGTGCCTGCCAGACATGTAGGAACTCACAGGCAACAATGCTTTTATTTAAAGAAAATCATTTGTCACATGAAGCACTGCTGAGAGGAAACCTGTTTTACCATATGTTACAGTGGAAAAAAACCCCAGTACTGCTGTTACAGGAGGCCACTGTGTTAGACAGCACTCTCCATCACCCTCATCAGAACATTACATGCACATTTGAAGGTCCCATATTTTATGTTTTATTTGAATTTTTGATCCATAAGAAGATATATTTGTGGTTTTAAAAACCGAAAACCATCTCAGTGTAGTTTTACATCTCCTCTGTCAGGCTTCTCTGTGGAGCTCTAGTAACAACAGGTCAGTGAGCCAGTCAGAAGAGAGGAGGCTCTGAGCCTCTCTTCTGATTGGCTGTTTGTTTTCTGAGTGATAGAATAAAATGATAAAACACTTGGACAAACCAAATCCTGCAAGGTTGGATGGTGGGTCCAGGTGGGCCGTGCTGGGGGCATGGCTGAGGGTGGTGACTGTTTACTTGTGACATCACAAAGTTGCAGAAGTCCTGACGGCTCGTTTTAAAGCTCAGTTTCTGAATAATGGCTGTGTGCTAATATAGAACCTCGACCTGCTTTATGATCAAAAAATGAGGGAAATCTCACTTTATACAGAATGGGACCTTTTAATATCTGCATGTATATTTAAACAGTACAACTTATGACAGAGCTTGGCTGTATTCAGTACCTAACACTGACTGATACTAGGCGTGTGCCTTTAAGATTAGCTTGTGCTAGTAAACTTCCCAGACAGCTATCATAACACATCATTCTGCAGCTAAGCCAGATTTTTATTAGCTGCTCATGGTTGACTGATTCATCATGTAACGTCTCCGCCATGAAACTGATGCAGCTCACCTGCTGAGGGACCTCACGCTGTGATTTTTTTTTTTTTTTAAGTTTAAGTGCGACTATCATTTAATTTGTGGGTATCAAACAGTATTGTAATCACAGTGTGTGTGAATAATGAGGCACAATTTGATGTGATATGACTACTTTTCGACAGCTTTCATTTAGAGCTGTAACAAGCTGTATTTGATTAACCAATAGTTTTTGGTAATCGGTGAGGTCATCTTATAACTGGTACCTGATGATCAGTGTGTTTTAGTGAGGCCATGTTGCACTCTCTCCTCTGTCCTGGCCCGTCCACAGGCGTGCTGGCTTGTCCAGTGCTACTCTGACCCACATTCTCATCTCTGCTCCACATTCTCAAATCCAAACACTCCTCTTCTTTGCCGCCGTACAGGCCTGAAGCTAAAAAAATGCCTTTCTACTTTGAGGATCTATTTTGTTATGTATTAAAAGCACTGTCCAATCCTCTGGTATAGTGTAGTCTGGACGATCTGGGCAGACAGAGGCTTTGTTGTTGTTTGTGTAGCTGCTGCATGCTGCTTTTTTAACAAACCGGTAAAGGCCATGTTTGTTTTTGTGGCTTTAAATGCTGTTTAATCATATTAGCTTTGTTTTAAGCTGCTGTTTTGTTATGTTGATCATTTTTGTCTTCTAAAAATGTCAAATGTAGCTTTAAACATCTGCTAACATATGGTCATGTTGGGTCTGGTGCAGATTTGTTTAAATTATGTAGTGTTGAAATGGGATTTTCTGTTGTATTTGTATCTTGTGTTATATCTTCTTGGATCACGCTTGAAGATTATGTTTGATCTAGTACCGCATATATGTCGACACATTTGTTTCGGCTCCATCAATTGACCAAAGCTCCACTCTTCCACTCTCTGACACACATCACCATATGATTGTGTCGGTCTCTCTCCCTCACCATGTGACTTGTGGCAGCGAGGCTTTCACAGTCGGGAGTGTGATAATCCAACAGCTGCACAGCAGAAAGGGGCTGGAAGGGGGAGTGGGAGGGTGGGGGGGGTGCGCACAACAGAAAGGCTTACGTCAACTCAAACGAGTCATGCAGCAGCAGTATGGCTGCCTGCAAAGACAGCCAACTGCCATTTTGCTATAGGTGATGCATTGCACACTAAACAACATATTAATATAGCACCTCTTTTTCCTTATTTCTCTATATTTGGTTGCTATGGTGACTTGTGATAATTGAAATAAAATCCCTGGTAATATAAAGAGGCAAACCTCCATATAGCAGTCTGCAGTGATAATAGTGTACAACCACCCCCACCTTTGGTCTCTGTCCCCCTCCTCCCACTGTACGTTCTATAGGAGAGGCCATGTAACCATAAAGCAAACCACTCGCGGGCTGATCCCTGCATGTGTTCAATTAGCATGTCACTGTTAATCATTGTCAAGTTGCTATTGGGTGCAAGCAGGGAGTTCACACTGCAGCTAGTTATGACCTTTTGCGAAGACGTGATAGTGGACAGGTTCGCTCCCTACCATTTGCACCAAAGGCCATTTCCAACAGAGACTAAACACGGCATGAAAGCTACATCTGGAATCTGATTTAGCTTTTAAACTCTACTTGAACCCACTGATTTCTCTGTTGAATTCTGTATCTACAGGGCCGTGGTGTCATTATCAGGCCTGTCTTTAAGTTACATTTGAGTCAGGTTATTCATCTTCCATTAACTGTACACTGTATACATGATATTTATTGTAAGTGTCAATTCAGAATTTTTAGCTTTCTCTGCAGCTCTAAAAACTCTATTCAGGATCATGTTAGTCTGTTACTTAAGTATATCTGTGGGGAATTTGCCATTGATCCAATGTGCATTTGTGTTTTCTTTTTTTTCTTTCTTTTTTTTTTTTTTTACAAGAGATTAATGATAATGGCTACTGTACACATCAACTCACAGTGAAACTCAGTCATGCATCATTAATCCCCAAACAAAGGAATCATTTGCCAGTAAGTGAAGGACTCATACTGCATTGTTACATTAGTCCTAGACATGAATAAGGCCTGGTCAGGCTGAGCTGCAACCGCGCCAGGGCGTTGTCGCATAGCTCCACACTTGCTTTGACCCTAAATATGAAAGTGGATTGATTTGGATGTGACATGAAAAGTCAGTCAAAGCCAAATGATGATTAAAGGCCGGTGCCCACAAAGTGATCATTGTATTTCATCAAAGATTTTCCAGAACGAGGACAAACAGCTTCTTTTTTAACTTGTGTTGTTTTTTTTGTGTGTCTAGGATGAAGAGGAGGAAATTAAACTGGAGATCAATATGCTGAAGAAGTATTCCCACCACAGAAACATAGCCACCTACTATGGGGCTTTCATTAAGAAGAGCCCCCCGGGACACGATGACCAGCTATGGGTAAGTCCTCAAATCCATCCAAGAAATTAAGGTTTGGTAAGAAGTATGCAAGGAAGAAAACATGTAGCAGCCCTATTTTTCTTTTCTCCCCAACCTCTTATTCTTACCAGTTCATACCAGTATGGTCTCTTTATCTTCAGGCAGGGTCGTGCATTAAAAAGTTATTTGTTTGGTCAGTTATTGTTGACTTATCTTCTGATGATTCATATTTTGCATCTGTTGTGTAGTTGGTGATGGAGTTCTGTGGAGCTGGTTCGATTACAGACCTGGTGAAGAACACCAAGGGGAACCAGCTGAAGGAAGACTGGATCGCTTACATCTCCAGAGAGATCCTCAGAGTGAGCTTCCTCTCCTCTCCTCTCCTCTCCTCTCCTCTCCTCTCCTCTCCTCTCCTCTCTCATTCACATCCTGTGTCTCTCTCCTCCTCAGGGTCTGGCCCACTTACATGCCCACCACGTCATCCACCGTGACATCAAGGGCCAGAACGTCTTGCTGACTGAGAATGCTGAAGTCAAACTAGGTGAGGGTAGCATAGATCTCACATCAGTGTTGATCAGCTGTTGTGCAGCTGAATTTGCACCTTTGGGACAGTCTTGGGAGAAATGTGGGTAAATCTTTGGCCCTCAATCAGAAACATGAGTCTTGGATCATAGTGTGAGACGAGTCTGAAGTATTTCTACACATGCAAAACCAAAGTTAAAGTTCATTTTTTTTCCCAATCAAAAGCCAAGCTAATCTGCTTTTTCAGGACTGTGTGGGTTGTGGTTTGTTCACACTGGCAAAGCAAGCAAACAACCCCACAGTTGAAATTATATTGTGATTCAAATGTTGCTAACCTCTGAATGGAGCGCGGTTTTACAAGAAATCATGTTTTACCAGCTGAGCCCGCCCACATAAAATCTGTGACTACAATTGGACAAATATGGAAATCGCTTATGTGAAATAACCAAAACTGTTCAAGTTTGGCAGAAGCTTGTGTGTTAATGTTCATGTAGGACCCCGTCACCGTCACAGAAAGAGACTGATTCATTAAGAAAAACAAAAAAACACAGTTTGACATGTGACGAACTTGCTTGTTAATATAACTCAGTCTATAGGCACCCTCAGTTGATTTCCACAGAACTAAATAAATGTAGAGCCACATTGATGACTGTGGCGACTCTCATTACTCTTCTCCAGTGGACTTTGGTGTGAGCGCTCAGCTGGACCGGACAGTGGGGAGAAGAAACACCTTCATCGGGACTCCTTATTGGATGGCCCCTGAGGTCATCGCTTGTGACGAGAACCCCGACGCTACATACGATTACAGAGTAAGAGCCCCCCCACAGAAGTGTCACACAGTGAAGCAGGTGTATTGTACCTGTGAATGTCTGGATTTGTCTGAGCGTGTGCGCCTGTTGTGGTTTTGGCTCACGGGCGTCGTCTTTCTCTTGCAGAGTGATCTGTGGTCATGTGGTATCACAGCTATTGAAATGGCCGAAGGAGCACCACGTGAGTTGTATAGAGTACATATATATATATATATATATATACTATTAGTGTTTTTGTGTTGGTTCAGTCTCTTTAATTCTTATTGATGCGTTTGTGCTTCCTCTGACAGCACTTTGTGACATGCACCCGATGCGTGCGCTCTTCCTCATTCCAAGAAACCCTCCTCCTAGGCTCAAGTCTAAAAAATGGTGAGTACCACCCAGAAGGATATTTTCTGTGTGCACATGAGTATTTCTATCCTTTCCAATGTCCTTTTTTTTGCCATAATAAATCCGCATATATTCAAGATAGGCCATAATATTTCCTGCTTGGCCTCTCTGTGTACTCTTGCGCATTTTTGATGTTATCTCTGACTTCAGACCAGGCGGCTACAGAGGCTTGAATCGTGAGCTCGGCTTTTCCTCTGTGCTTTGCTGCTGAGCTGAACATCTGTGGTACACCTGCTCTGGCAGACTCAGCCTCTCCTGGCACTCTCTGCAGAGCTGCTCGATGCAAATGCAGAAAGAAAAAAAAAAATCAAACCTTTGACTCTTTTTTTTTTTGTGAGTTGGCAGGAGGGCTGAGATGAATTTTAAAAAGTTCAATATTTTCTTTATAAAAACAGAACACAACTTAGTGGATTTGTTTTGTTGTTGCCATTTAAATTTTGTGTGTAACACTCTTGAACAGCAGCAGGTGCAATGATGATGATAATTTCATTGTACTGCGCCTCATATTTCACAGTTTCCGTGGTGTATATGCGATGAAAGGTTCAATGCTGCCTGTCCATGTGTATAAACCTCAATTTACACTGAGAAACCAGAGGCTGCTGTAACGCTGCGGAGTGTTTCAGAGACCTGAGTGCTGTTAGGACTGTTGGGTAATTTGAAATCGGAGCTTGTTTGTAGAAATGTGTTTTACTTAGGATCCCTGGGTGTGCTCTGTCCTTGTGTGGCTGAAATATTTGTCTGGCTCCCACTGTCTCTTTTCAGAGTTCACCCTCTCCGTCACGCATTGTTTCTTCTCCTCCACAATCCCCACAGGTCCAAGAAGTTTTTCAGTTTCATCGAGAGCTGTCTGGTGAAGAACTACACGCAGCGGCCCCCGACAGAGCAGCTGCTGAAGCACCCCTTCATCCGAGACCAGCCCAACGAGAGGCAAGTCCGCATACAGCTCAAAGACCACATCGACCGCACCAAGAAGAAGAGGGGAGAGAAGGGTGCGTCTGGCTCTCTGTGTCCAATCACTTCATCTCTTCTCTGTGTCATTGTCACAGAAAATATGTACAGTAGATAATATCATGTCGGCTGCGGTGAGTTGCTCTGAGTGACTTCTTCATTTACAGATGAGACGGAGTATGAGTACAGTGGGAGCGAGGAGGAGGAGGAGGATCCCCCAGAGCAGGAGGGTGAACCAAGGTAGGATCTAGTACTCGCTGCACCTCCTAAAAACCAGTACTTGTTAAAAGGAAGCCCAGTCCAATCTAACCCTTCTGTCCCTGTTCCTCCCCCCGTCATCCAGCTCCATCGTCAATGTGCCAGGTGAGTCCACCCTGCGCCGCGACTTCATCCGCCTGCAGCAGGAGAACAAGGAGCGGTCAGAGGCGCTCCGCCGCCAGCAGCTCCTACAGGAGCAGCAGCTCCGGGAGCAGGAGGAGTACAAGCGCCAGCTACTGGCTGAGAGGCAGAAACGAATTGAGCAGCAGAAGGAGCAGAGGAGGCGACTGGAGGAGGTAGGATGATGTTTTTTTTGTTTTTTTTCTAGGGCTTGGTCACAGATCTCCTAATCAAACGAGAGGAGAGCTGAGGCTGATGCTGGCAAACAAAAAGATCAGACCGCTGAAAGTCATGTTTTTGTTGACAGTTTTTTAAAAATATATTTCCTGTGTGCTGTCCCTATAGCAACAGCGCCGTGAACGGGAGATGAGGAGGCAACAGGAGCGTGAGCAGCGTCGCCGCGAGCAAGAGGAGAAGAGGCGTATCGAAGAGATGGATCGTAGACGTAAAGAAGAGGAGGAGCGCCGGCGGGCGGAGGACGAGAAGAGAAGGAACGATCGTGAGCAGGTCAGTTTTAAAATATTTCTACTTAAAATGTCTAAGTGAGGAATCACATCAGGTATACTAGATCAAATAAATCAACTGGAGTTCTTTCTTTTCATGCCAGAAGGTAGAATTTGCTAGTCGTGGTGAAAGAGATGATGCAGTGAGGTGCTAAGTTTGGAGACAGTGATTCAGAAAGAAAGACACTACTCTGTAATAATTGTACATAGTACTACAGTGTAACTGAAGCTGTCTGATGTGGAAAAATACAACTATCCTGGTAGAGTCGTGTGATGATCAGGGAGCTGATACACTTGCGACATTGCCTGTGAGAACAAGCACAAAGAAAAATGATTTGTAAAGTAGATTTTTCATCCATTGTGTTGTGATTTTTTTTTTTTTTTCTTTGAGTTATATGTCCACTAACATCTCTGACTGCTTGGCTTTGATTGACAGGAGTACATCAGGCGTCAGCTGGAGGAGGAGCAGAGACACCTGGAGATGCTGCAGGAGCAGCTGCTCCGTGAACAGGCCATGCTGCTGGTCAGTCACACACATACTCCACGTATAATTCACCACAGCACATCAACACTGCTTTATTCCTCCTGTTCGGTTAACCACTGAAAATGATCCTCCATGAGTTCAAAGACTAATTTTGGATGTGTAGTCCTTATCAAGAGTTACAGTTCAGGGTAAGATGACATCATGGTAAAGTAATGTAACACTATACTGTTGAAGCAATGAGTACTAATATATATGTTTATGAATGAAATCCTTGTATGGCAGTGGTGAAGACCGTGGGAGGGATGAGGAAATACTCCACAACAAATGTGTGTTTTTAATAGGTGTGAGTCATCTCCAGGTCATAAAGTTGTTGAATCATTTTCACAACAAAGACAAGTGCGAGGAAATGCTGTGATCTCCACTGTAAAGTGAATCATTAATCTGTCTCTCGATTGAAGCTGATTGACACAGTGTGACTTTACGTGGCATTTATAAACTGCATAGTGCACGTAAGAAGTGTAATAGTACAGAGTTGGAGAGGAGTAAAATGGGCAAATGTGGTGACAAATGCTGCTGTCTGTTCACAGTGAATGGTTAAAACATGGCACTGACACAGATTTTTTTTAGTCAAGCCTAAGTTTGTCAGGTCAACACTGCCAGCTCTCCCGTCTCTTCTCACCACCTTGAATCAACCCCATACTCTGCAATAGGAGTTCAAGTGGCGGGAGCTCGAGGAGCAGCGCAAGGCCGAGCGACTCCATAAGCGCCTGCAGCAGGAGCAGGCCTACCTGCTGTCGCTCCAGCACGAATCCAAACAGCAGCCTGGCGACAAGACCAAACTCCCCTCAGACCAAAGCAAACCTCCGCAGACCTCCACCCTGCCCCCTGACAGAGTCCTTACGACAGCCCCGCAAGCTCAGGTCCTTGACAGCGTTGTCTCTTTAGCGAGAGGCGCTCACGAGTCCTCCAGAGCCCTTCAGACGATCCCTGCAGACAGCACTAAGTCCCAGGCAGCAGTGCCAGAAAAGACTCACACTGTTGAGACCTGTCCCAGCCCCAGCCCCCCTCAGACTGAAACCCCAACTGACCCTAACACTCCCCAGGCAGAAGGTTTGGAGCCCGATAGGCCCGCCGAGCCTGTCGCTCATCCTCCTCAGCCTATCAGAGAGGTGAACCTCCTCCTCGGCTCTGCCTACCCCGCTGCCTGCTCTTTCCAGCTTCTTCTTGCTTTTCTTCGCACAGTTCTCAGCGACCATGATGATGGAGGTGGTGCGAGTAACAAATGACGGTTTACTTTAGCACAAACAGTTACTTTTAATGTAGTCTTTTCTGTTTTGGTTGCTGTGGTGTTATTCCAAAGCAATAGCTAATTTGTTAGAACGCAGGCCCTTTTTGAATGAAACAAGTAGGGGGTACGGTGGAGAATGGAAAAACCACAGGCTCGCAACCACTCTTTTTATGTCCTGAATAAAACAGAGCTGTTCTCCTCCACTCTCTCTTGGCACTCGCTCTCACTTACTCTGTTGCTAGTCTCCTTGAAAACTCAAACCATTAGGATGTTTGAAATATTTTCGTCTTAATTTTCACTTTGAGCTGAGGTTGAGCAAGTGAAAGAGAAATAATCAGTTCCAGCAAGATTCCACTCCAATCTTTTTTTTTTCTCATAAGAATAAAGATGATTCCATAGGCTTTTATTTTTTTATTTCACCCTTTTTATCCACTGTCATTTGAGTCCAGTCTTGCGACGACAAAATCAAGTGCTCCTCCTCCTTTCATCCCTTTTCTCTTTGAGGTTTTCCCCCTCAGAACAATACACAACCACAAGTGTTTCTCTTGATCTTGGATGGCCGACCTGTGACATTCTTCGATGTGGTTGTTTTGACTCTGAATGTGTGTGGATCGGGCCGTTGCATGTGGATGGCTGAGGCCCAAACTAACATGCAGGACACCCCAAGCAGTGTCTCCCGTCATCAGCAGACCTGTTCCGTGTCATTAACAACGATCTTTCCCTCCATTTTATTATAAAAAAATTCAAGGATGTATCTGTTTGAACGAGTCCTGTCTCCACCTCTGTCTGTCCACACACACCTGTGTCTGTCCGGCTGCCTGCCTGTCTGTGTCAGTTAAATGTGAAGGTTTCTGAGTATGACAAAAAGGATTCCTGTAATCTCGGAAAATACAAGGAGATGGGAACCATTTTTAATCGGTGAAGAAAACTGTTACTTCACGCTTAAAATCTGTGAACTTTCAGCAGTGGTTCCCTTCTTTTTGATTTTCTCTATTTTTTTTAGTTCAGTCACTGAAATATTTCTCCTGATCCTCATCCCATCTTTGTCCTGTGCGATTCCCCCATCCCAGGCTGACGAGCGGTACCGTAAGAACATTCAGGGCTCCCCTCAGACCGCCCCTCCTCCCAAGCAGCCCCCTCTGCCTCCCCGCTCCTCTGAACCGTTCTCCAACGGCGGCCCCTCCGAGGCCTCCGCCATGCACCGGCCCATGGAGCCTCAGGTAACTCCTTCCTCCTCCCTCCTCCTTTTTCCTCTTTCTCCTTTCGCTCCCTCACAGCTGGATTCGTGCACTCGCACACTTCTGTCAAACAGCAAAAACAGTTGGCTACAGAAAAGGAATCTGGGTTTAAAACAATCAAACGCATATCAGGAAAGAGATATTATTTTTGAGTTTTTAAAAAACTTGTTTTGCATTTTGATCACTAAAAAATGACTGGCCTTTAGTCCAGCTGTTATCTCACACCAGTTGGGTGGTTTGGCTCATATCTGCATCCTGCATCACTTCAAAACTCAGAAAACAAAAGGTAAATAGTGCGCACGGCCTTTCAGACAGCAGCCTCAGTAGTAAAAAGCACTGATAATAACACTTTACCATCTAGTTATCATCATGTTGCTCACATTTGTTTGTAGTTTGCCAAATTATCTGACACTTTTCACTCCACTCCTTGTAAGGAGAGCGTACTCGAACGCGAGTGTGTAAGATGCGCAGCCTGTTAGCTTATAAAACAGAACACACTGTAAACTACGAATCCACACCAGGGTGTTTTTAAATTGGACACTGTGGAGGAATATGAGCTTTTACACACTAAGTTCTCCATCACTGAGCAATCCAAGAACAGACTGACCCATAAATTATATAATTTCTGCTTTTACACCACTAAAATCCGTCCATAGATTAAGTAATAATTGCAACCTAAATAACTAATAGTGTTTTACTACAACTAATTTACTAGTTTGATTAATTTAAAGGCCAGACAGTGAATCTGAGTGAAACACATCATCGTGTTGTGCTTTGTCTGCTGTATGCATGTGTATATATCTAAACACATGTATGTGAAAAAGCCACGCACATCTTCCCTCATGTCTCACTGTATTGTCTGCTTGTTTCACCTCCCCCTCCCCTCCTCCTCCTCCTCTTCCTCTTGCCCCCCCCCCTCCCTCACTCCCTAAAAGGTCCAGTGGTCCCACCTGGCTGCTCTAAAAAGCAGCAACAGCGCCGCCCCCTCTCCTCCTCCTCCTCCGCCGCCCGTGGTCTCTCGCTCCCAGTCCTTCAGCGAGCCCGGCGGTGTGACCTCTAGCTTTGCACAACTCCACCTGCGTTCCCAGGACCCCCACCATCACCACCACCATCATCACCCATCGCCCGCACGCACTGACCCCCAGCCCCAACCTCCCCTCCACCACCCTCAGGCCCAGACTAGGGCCGAACACCAGGCCAGCAACGAGGAGGTGCCTCCCAAGGTAAGGAGTTGATGAGGGCCTCCCGTCCCCACCCTGTCCTTGACTGCTCCCTCCCTCCTTCACCTCCTCTCATGCTCGTCACTGATCATGCTCCACCACAACCTGTCTGTATGTGTTCCCCTTGCTGTGTTTCAGTCTCATTCGTTCAACATCACCATTAAACACTGATATATAAGTTGTAATAAAACTAAATGAGGAAACTTTGCATTTCCAGGCCAGTAAATACCATTAAGAGGTAAAATATTGATCAAAATGCAGCAATTATGTTACACAATACAATGAACAGTGCATTCCTCCAACCTAAATTCATTCTGATGGGGGTGCTGGTGCTGGAGAGCTTCAACTCAAACTTTCTCAGAGTACTCAATAGCTATGGATTAAAAGATGCTTTTATAATTCACTGTTCAAAGTGACAGAGTGAATGTAGGGCAGATATCAGGATTGTGTGATGTGATGCTCTTCTGGGGTTCCTTTTTCTTTTTCTTTTTTTTTTTTTTGTCTTATGCAACTTTGAGTTCTTGTTGTAGATTTTCACTTTAAGACGAACTTTAATCCAAATGTTTTGCTCATGCTGAATACATATCTGCCGCTGTGTGAGGACCTCTGAATCTGTCTCCGCCAGGTGCCAGTGAGGACAACATCCAGGTCTCCAGTACTGTCGCGCCGAGAGTCCCCTCTGCCGTCACAACCTGGCAACCAGGGCGTACAGAGGAACGCTGGCGGGTAAGTAAAGAGACCCTCTGAAAGGATTTCTGCACTTGGGTTCTGTCGTTGTTGTTTTTTTAAGGCATAACCATACGGTGGCAAGTCCTGTACACTGTGTATTTACCACTTAATGAGACTTTGTTCCTCGTGGCAGTAATGTGGAGCAGCGCCCGCTGTGGGACCGAGTGGAGAAGCTGCAGCCTCGGCCCGGCAGCGGCAGCTCCTCCGGCTCCTCCAACTCCAGCTCCCAGGCCAGCCCTGGAGACCGCTTCAGACCACGCTGTGAGTCCCCTGGTACTGTTCACAGCTGCATTTCACTGACTCTACTAACTGCTTATTAGGTCATCATGATTATTACAGTAATAACACCATTCTCACTCAAATACTATGCTGTGCTGTCTGCTCATGCTGAGCTGTTTCTATACGGGCGATTGAAGGTTCCTGTCAGCCTGCTCTCCTGGCGCCGTTCTGTTTCTCCCACACTAACGCTGCTTCCTTTTGTTCCCCTCGAAGCTTCCTCCAAGTCTGAAGGATCGCCTCTCCAGCGGCCTGAAAACGTTCCCAAAAAACAAGATGAAAAGAACCTCGCCAGGCCTACTCGACCAGCTGTAAGTCCACTGCTGCCAGAGTGCTGGTTATCATTGTATGATGCTGAATAGGTGAAAACTTTTTTTTTTTTTTTTTTTTTTCCCCCACTTGTGTTTTTCTCTTATTTCCTACTACTCTAATTATTCAACCACCTGATGTGTGCAACATCTCATGAATCCAATGGTTCGCGATTGTTGGGGAAACCTCTTAGGGTGATGTGGTAAGCCTATTAAATGAGATTAATCACACCTATGCCATGCTTGCACCATTGCTCCCCTCCTCATTGCATTATATACTAAAGTGTTGTGATAAATGAGCTGGTTCTCCTTTGTGAGGATCAATGCGATAATTCATTTCAGTTCCGTCATTCTCTGCCTGTGATGTGATTGCCTTCTGCTGGCGTCTTCCCTCATGCCTGCACACTTCTTTCTGAGTTTACTGCTTGTCGCTGATAAAAATGCACCTGGCACTGGGGGGGTTAAACCCTCTGCAGAGGCTTCCTGAGCCTGGATTTTAGTGCAACCACATTTGAATGCAAACACACTTCTCCTGTTTCCTTGTACTTGTCAGAATGGCTCCTAATCTCACCTGGCTTTGTCGCTGGATAAACTGTGGCCCATTTGTTATTGAACATTTCGGGGAAATATTCCTCCTCCCTTTCTTGCTTGTCACTGACCTTACAAGACTGCATTAGTCCAACAAGCAGAGGAGAGCATGGTTACAGTGCTAAGGAGTAACACTTGGCTAAAAATATAGATTGCAAAAACACTTTAAGTGGGGAAAAATGTTCTACTCCAAGTACCTAGAGATTTAAGACAAGAAAAACCTATATACAAAGTAATGACTCACATTTTTCTTCATTACTGTTCCTTTCAGGACCTGACTGCTCTGGCCAAGGAGCTCCGTGCTGTCGACGATGTGCGGCCTCCCCACAAGGTCACCGACTACTCCTCCTCAAGCGAGGAGTCGGGCACCACCGACGAGGACGATGATGAGGAGGTGGACCAGGAGGCGGGAGAGGAGTCCACTTCAGGAGCTGAGGACTCCAGAGCTGGGTAGGTATACGCCTGATGATGATGTTGTTGGCCCACGGTCCACGCTGTGTGTGTTGCGTTCTTCTGCGCTCATTAAAAATGTGTCAGTCACTTCTTTGTAATTTCCTGTTTTAAGTATAAACATTATTAAAAATGTCCCATCAAAGTGCTGCATGGCTTTTCTGCATGACTGTTAACACTGGTCTGGTTATGGACATCAGATATTCCCATGGCTTCTACAGGAGGCTGAGTAACGGGGAGACGGAGTCTGCTAAGACCATGCTGGTCGAAGACTCCGAGAGCGACCAAGCCTCCACACCCTCCAAGGACGGCACGCTGGTCATCAGACAGGTAAGAGGAGGAGACCGACTCACTGACACGACTTCCTGTCACGTTAGAGGCTTATTCTGCTCGCATATAGTTGTTAGAAATGTCATTGTCCTTTTTTCTTTGTCCAGTGTCATCGTCCACTCATTCTCCACCATTTTTCCGTTTTTGTTTTAAATTTCAGCCACTTGCTGCTTCACATTTTACATGTACAGATGAGGAATCTTGTCAGATTGTTGTAGGTTAAATTTAATCCGACATGCCACAGCAGTGCTGGTCCCCAAAGATGAATTTAAAGAACATGTTGTCTGATCTTGTTGTGAATCATGAGACTAAGCAGTCAAAACGTACAGCTCCTCCTCCTCCTCTCCACCTGCTTGCTCCAGCCCAAGTGTGCCTGTTCTTGCTTCCAGAGCGCCGTTGACATAAAGCGGTCGGTCAATCTCTCATCCTCATCCTCCTCCTCTTCCTCGGCTGGCTCTGGTCACGGCCACGGCCAGCCGCAACCCCCCGGCCATGGCCTCCCAGAGAAAAACGGCTTTGCCGGCCGCATACACCTCCTACCAGACCTTATCCAGCAGAGCCATCACTCCCCTTCCTCTTCCACAACCATCCCTTCCTCCTCCTCCTCCTCCTCTTCCTCCTTCCCCTCATCATCTAGCCATGCCAGTCCTGCCATGTCCCCACAGAACCCCCTGGACAAGCTCACTACCATAGAGGTATGTCATCCTCACATCACAGAGGCAAACAACTAAGGAGTGGATGGTTGCAGGTGTACAGGCTTTGACAGGCTTCAAAGAGCAGTTGCAAATGTTTGTTTTTATCCAGCTTGAGTCCAGGATTGTCGAGGATCGACTGTAGGGTGTAGAAGTTTCCCTCAGTAGAAGAATATTGCCACTTTTTATTGCCATCCTCTGCCTGGACACGAAGCTAGGTAAAATAAACAATTTGCAAATGCTCTTTTTCCTCTAGTTATTTTAAGGAGGTTTGGATAACATTGACTTCTGTACCTATCCAAGTCTGTACATACCCACCGTCCAGCCCTTGATTGTTGGTCTGAGCATCTCTGCACCCTATCCTGCCGCCCTCCACCCTCTGTGTCCTGCTGGCTTCACTCTGGCTCTCCTCGCTCTGCCCCCTTCTGGCTTGGCTCTGACACCTCTGCTTCGAGTCTTCTGAGCAGGGCTGCAAACCTCCTTTCCCTCCTGCACTTCGCTGCATTGCACTGCGCCTGCTGCTAACACTGGCGTCCCCTGGTGGTAGAACCCGGTCAGGGCACGGAGGAAACTAAAACTGGAGCTTCTCGGGGTGAACTACAGTCAACCGTCTCGTAGCAGGATAACCACGACACAGCCATGTTTTAGTAGTTGTAGCAGTGTTGGGTGACGGCATGCCTGGTGTGGTGTTCGGGGTGAAGTTACCATATATTTCCATTTTTAGACAAACATGCACTGCCTCTTTTTGTGGTGTGAGACATAACTGCAGGAAACAACAGGCATCTTGGGTGGTGGACTTACAATTCTCCTGTTTGCGTGCTTCACTTTTTCTTCCTCTTAACACCTCACAGCAGCAGCTCATGCTTGGATCACTTCTCATTTCCCTAAACGCACTTCTTCTCATTTCACATGTTGTTTTTTTTCCTCTATAACATGTCTGTCTGCGCTCGCTTCAGAACAACTAACGTAACTGCACGTTTGATTTGTGATAAACTCTGAATTTCATCGCCAACTTTGTATTACCAGATGTTTGTGTCATGACAAATGCAGTTTGATTGAGCCGTGTTATGAGCCCCCAGAGGCAGAGCAGTAATTCATGTGCTCAGGACTGAGGAGGCCTGTTGCCAATGTAGAACAATCATAGTCACTTTTATAAAGCACCAATCGGTGTAGCAAATCTTTATGTCATGGATTGGACCAAAGTCATAATAAATAAGCTGTTTAATTTAAAAGTTACCGAAGTAGGAATACTCTGAAGTCTCTGTTTGTTTTTCTAAATGTCCTCAATCTCTCTCAGTCCCAGTCAGAGAGCAACTCCATGTCCAAACACAAGTCCTCCTCGTCCTTCACTCCCTTCATCGACCCACGCCTTCTCCAGGTCTCTCCATCCAGCGGCAGCTCCCTCAACAACATGGGTAATTAAAAACTATGAAGGCTCTTCTGTTCCCTAATGACAGAAACATGTGTTGTTTTTTCTCTGAGGGAGTTTTTATGAGCAATAGCTTCTTCCCCCACACATTTTTTCCATCATTGATAAAGAAATAATGTTGAAACATTTGAGATGAGGTGATGAGTCAAGGTGCACACTGAGCATTACAGCACGTACTGTCTATTACAATATGTCATGGAGAGTGAATTTAATAAACTGTAGAGCTGCATGAAGATAAATTTGTTCATTAATAATTTAATAACATGGTGGTATCCTGTCTGACATGTACTGACTCTGTCCCCCCCCCCCCCCACAGCTGGATTTGGGCAGGATGGACGGCTGGTGGACCCGCTGAGGTCCGACCCGTCCCGTAAAGGCTCAGTGGTCAACGTCAACCCAGTCAACACGCGCCCGCCGAGCGACACGCCCGAGATCCGCAAGTACAAGAAGAGGTTCAACTCTGAGATCCTGTGCGCTGCGCTCTGGGGTGAGTCTGTGTTAAACAAGAACATGTGATGTGGTCGAATACACTGCTTACAACCTCTTACTCACATCGGTGTGTTTGTCTGTGACTGTTCCAGGGGTAAACCTGCTGGTGGGGACAGAGAGCGGTCTGATGCTGCTGGACCGAAGCGGTCAGGGGAAGGTCTACCCCCTGATCAACCGGCGGCGCATCCAACAGATGGATGTCCTGGAGGGACTCAATGTTCTGGTCACCATATCAGGTACTGTACATGTGCTGCACAAGTTCGTGTTTTTTTTTTTGTGTCTTTTTCATTGTGTGTTTAAATGCAGGCAACATTTGTGAAAACCAGGTGTAAATTATGTCCAAATGTGTCTTTCCCTCTAAATTTCACCTCCGCCTCCTGCAGGTAAAAAGAACAAGCTGCGAGTATATTACCTGTCGTGGCTCAGAAACAAGATTTTGCACAACGACCCTGAGGTGGAGAAGAAGCAGGGTTGGGTCAATGTGGGCGACCTGGAGGGCTGCGTCCACTACAAAGTCGGTACGTCTCCTTGTCGGTCAGCGATTCTTAACCCCAGATTGAGTGATACGCACAAGTATTAGGCGATTCTGACCCTCACGACTGACACACTTCTCCTTTTCCTTCCAGTGAAGTATGAGAGGATTAAGTTCTTGGTGCTGGCCTTGAAGAATTCTGTGGAGGTGTACGCCTGGGCTCCCAAACCCTACCACAAATTCATGGCCTTTAAGGTCAGTTTGATGTGGGTCTCTTTTTTAATTATTACTTCTAGTTCTACTTGACCTGACTAACTCTTTTATTCATGGTTGGTTTTAGTCTTTTGGTGACCTGGTGCACAAGCCTCTGCTGGTTGACCTGACGGTGGAAGAGGGTCAGAGGTTAAAGGTCATCTACGGCTCCTGCTCAGGCTTCCATGCTGTGGATGTGGACTCCGGTGCCGTCTACGACATCTACCTGCCTACACATGTAAGTGCTCAGCAGAGAGTCTGGTCGTATCTCGTTTTTTTTTTTTAATGCTATTTACCCTCCTAACGCTTCTTACCCCCCCAACCTCAGATCCAGACCAGCATTCAATGCCACGCCATCATCATCTTGCCCAACACTGACGGGATCGAGCTGCTGGTGTGTTACGAGGACGAGGGCGTCTACGTCAACACCTACGGACGCATCACCAAGGACGTGGTGCTGCAGTGGGGAGAAATGCCAACTTCAGTGGGTGAGTTGTGGGAGGGGGGAGAGGGGGTGAGGGCTCAGTTTGACTATTATCTGCTCTTCAGTGTACACCACAGGTGCCAGCCAGGGAAACTCTGATGCCTCCTAAACCTCCTTCTGTGCTTGTGCAGCCTACATTAGGTCAAACCAGATCATGGGCTGGGGTGAGAAGGCCATAGAGATCCGCTCGGTGGAGACGGGACATCTGGACGGCGTCTTCATGCACAAGAGAGCCCAGAGACTCAAGTTCCTTTGTGAGAGGAATGACAAGGTGCGAATACTTGTCTGACTTAATTAAATATCAACCTCTACCTCCTTGAGTATAACACACTTGATCAGATCTGAAGCTCATATATTTGTACCTTTTCGTCCTGTTTCTCTCAGGTCTTCTTCGCCTCTGTGCGCCCTGGAGGTGCCAGCCAGGTGTACTTCATGACCCTGGGACGCACCTCCCTCATGAGCTGGTAGTCGCGAAACCCCCACAAACAACCAGCCAAACACGATGACCGTACCTAAGCAGCGACCAACAGATGACGATTGTGACTATGACCAATGACGATTAACACGAGAAAAACCGCCTTGAGTCTGAGCTGGAGAAGCGTCTCTGCGGCTTTCTCTCACCTGCTCGGGCAAACAAACCACGGATTGGACTGTAATCATGAAAAGAAGCGAGGGATGTGGGTGTGTGTTTTTTTGGGGGGGTGGGGGGGTCGTGCACCATCACAAGTCCACTGAGTAAACTATATTACGACAACAACAGAAACCCCCACGAGCCGCCCGGTTCCTCTCACCCCAGCCTTGTTGCCCAACCTTTTTGTGCTGAACTCCACTTCTCCTCTTCCTCTTTGCGGGACGTGGGATCTGTTGCCTGTCAATGGTAAAATCTTTAATGTGTCATAGTAAAACTTTGCATCATGTATGTGTGCGTGTGTGTGTGTGTGTGTGTGTGTGTGTGTGTGTGTGTGTGTGTGTGTGTGTGTGAATAGAGGAAAACACTGAGCATGTGAATGACTGACAAAGTGTGTTTGTCTGAAGGGACGATACGAGGCTAAACGTGGCTGTTGCCGTATTGAAGAAGGCGAATACTGTACGTGCCACACCTTGAGTTTAGCTGTTTTTGTGGCTGTGTTTAGTCCAGGTCCTGTTTGGGTAAATTTCACTCCTATTCCCTCCACGATAGATTTCCACGTCAAGCATGTCATGAAACACTAGTTCACAGTCACAGTTTTACTCCCATAAACACTGCTTGACTTGTAAATCTGCCTCTGTCTTCACTTTTTTGCCTTCTCCTCCTTAAAGTGAAGATTTTTTAAGGGACCTTCTGGATATATCCATTAAAAAACAGGGTACTGGATATCAGCTTGTACATACTAACTACATCAACCTTGTGAGCTTTAGACTCTCCCGGGTTTAACAGACACTTTCTCAACTTTTACCACATTGCCTCACGTACTGTAGGTTATGTCAAGACAGAAGTAGCCCTGTTTATGACAGCATGTTGCTTTGGTGTTATTAACAAAAAATTATCCCCAGTTTTTAATACACTGTATATTTTGTATGTGACTTGCTGCACATAAATAAAGCATAAGAACACAGGACACACCTGTAGATGAGTTTTAAAGGAAGAATCCACCCTATTTATCATCAATCTGTGATATTTTTCTGGGCTTTCCAGGAGTTGTTTTGTGATGAAGTGTTGCATTTTCCCTGGTCAGCTGCTTTGTCGACACCCAAACAACAAAATACACCCAGAAATGTGAGGTTCATTACCAATAGCTGTTTTCTTTTCTTTTGTCAGGTGGATTTTTCCTTTAACATCAGTCATAAGTAGGGCTAGGATAAACTGTGAATTAGACATGCAGAATTAGCAGGTGGCCGTTAACGTAGCATGGAGGCCAGTGGGCAGAAGTGACAGTAAGGGAATGAAGGCAGCGTGCATAGATGTCACTCGAGCGGGTTGAGAAGAAGCTTTGAACATCACACTCCACAGAGAGGAGGAGGAAGCACGATCAGCTGATGGCTCCTCCGCCGTCTGCGCAGTTCGGGTCCGCGATCAACCAACTCTCTATTAGAGGAGACTTTAGCTTAATGCTCAGCTAAACGGTTGCCTTAGAAGGGTCTCAAGCTGATTACAAACTGCTCAAAATCCTCTGTGAATGCTGAAAAACATTTGGATTTTGTGTACTGTTGGAACACTTTAGTCTGAACCAGCCATGTGATTCAATATTGGACCTCTTTTTTTTTTTTGTTGACATTTTCTTCAGATGGGCAGTTAGTTTACACGGTCCAGTCTGGATTGAAGACAAAAAAAAAAAAAAAAACACTACTTTAACTGGACCGTTACTCCATCCCAGAATTGTATTTTACTTCGTTTTATTTTTCTTCCTCACTCATCCTCTGAAACCCCCCAATGACAAGGCAAGACTTGTTTGTCACTTCATGTTAGGACGGTCTCATTTCACTGTTAAAAATGTCAAATCCATCCTGTGGCTGTGCGTATGTATGAATGAGAAAACTTGACAACAGGACTCAAATCTGCAAGGTTTCACCCCCTTCGTGTCATCTCGACACTCTGGTCCTGCTCTCAGTAAGCGTGCTGCCTTCACTGTCTCGAGGCGAGGGGCCTGCTGAGAGCTGCGGAGCATGGGAATGAGATGCTTTCACTGTCTGATCATCTGTGAAAAGCTAAGGAAGGGGGGTTAAAAAAATAATCACACGTTCGAATAGCAGTGTTACAAAACCACTTCAGACGGCGTGAACTAAGCGGCATATTTTTAACTTGGACTTAGTTTTTAGTCTTGTTTCTGCAATTTTTATTATGTAACCCTTCAGATAAGTATGCGACTGCAGTGGTTTTAAATTGTAATGCACACCTTATGTTGAAAATGTTTACAGAAGCAATTGTTTTGTTAAACCAATGTGCATCGATATGAATATTTATGGTTTATTTTGAGGGCAGTTTTTCCCTGTTTTGTATTTTGTATTATTCCCTTTTTGTACTATCATTTAGACGTTTGTGTACAGGAATAATCGACCTTTGCTCACGTTATGAATTACGCAAGTCCAGAGTGTGATTTCACTGATTCCTCTACATCCTGCATAGTGCAGTGTGCCCCTGGCTGTGTGGCAGCTTGGATCAAATGTTTTCTGCCTGCCAGGTGACATGTTTCCCCTCAAACGTCTCTCTGCCATGCCTCTCTAATTTATGTCCTCTCTGTGTGTACTATGGGAATTACTGTATTTTCCTGAAGGTCTTTTTTTTCCATTGAATAAAATCAGAAGTAATTTACAGTGTGGTGTCTTTCTTTGTCATAGTGCTATGGCAACATTTGATGAACTCCAAATGTTGGAAGCATCACTTGCTCTTTGTCTCATTTATTAAACTAAATGCCAACATTTTGAGAAATTTTCTGCTTAAAAAAATTGATATATTCCAGATTTTAAAAAAGTGAAGCAGTTTGTTAAGAATGTAAAAAGTCTAGAAGCCAAATATTCTGGGGAAAATAAAGGAAACCTTCCAGTCAGATGTTGAGTATGATTAGTGGTCCAGGAAGCATTCAGGTCCTTTACTTGCATAAAAGTACTGCAGAAATACTCCATTACAAGTAAAAATCCTGTTAAAAATGCTATTAAAGTAAAAGTACCTATGTATTATTAAACATAATGTATCAAAAGTATAGGTACTCAATGCAGAAAGATGGCCCCTGTTATTGTTACACTCATATATTGTACAATAATGCATCAGTAATGATTATTTAATTATATCAAGAGTATTTAATGGTTGTACTTTTCATAGTGGAGCTAATTTTACCTATTTCATATAATGTTGGCTTGTTAAATCTTTAGCAATACATAATATTTTGTAAGCTCATCATGCCAAACTTCATTTGGAAACATTAACTTCATACCAGCTGTTACCTGAAGATTGTAACTGTTTTAAATAGTCAGATTCTCTCCTTTGTGCCTCTGAGGTTCTTTGTTATTGTCTTATGCAATTTTTGAATGTTGTAAATTAAGTTTTTATGTGTTTACTACTCTACATTACCAGGTCTCTTGCAAAAGAGGTAATGTATCTTACTAACTGGTTGAATAAATTAATAAATCATGTGATTTGCATGTAAAAGTCTTAATTTGAACCATTAAATCTTGATTTTAACACACAACACACACAAAAAAAAAAAAACCCCAGAAACTTGCCTCTATATATTTTCACCACAAGATGGCGCCACCGCGCAGCTCACGGCCCATCCCACTTCCAAAGGGCTAGCAGCTCAGTAAAGCTAGCCTTGATACCCAACAGTATGGTTTCCTGTTTACGCCGAAAGTAATAATATTAAAACGCTAAATAACGTGCTATAAGCATTATCTCAAACTTTATTAAAGCCATATGGTAAATTTTCAAATAGGAAATGTATTGCAAGGGAGGCCAGTTTGAATGTAGCTTCCGGAAGCACGGTACCGTCTTTTTTCATGTCATAGTGATAATATTTTACAAACCGAACAAAGGTGAGATATGTATTGGAAAATTTACAATTATACACGTGTCACTTGTCAACACATCAATCCTCACGTAGAATGAGCTTCGTTTGTCAGGTCTTTTCTTCAGAGCGTAACTGAACCACGCGTTTGCTCTTATTTTGAAACACTGTCGGAGCGGAAGTCGCCCCGGCACTCTGTCTAACTTGACGCAGCTTGGCTGGGTCACGCTGCAATCCAGCCGGATGTTTTGCGTCGCCAGTATGTGATGGGAACATTTGCCTTGGTATTTTTTTTTTTGCGTCTCAGAGCTGAACGTGCGGCTCCGGCGGCGGCCCTGACCAGGTGAGTACCTGCCCACCGCGTTAACCGAGCAGACTTGTTTGTTGGAGGAGCTGCAGGTTGGCGTGGGGGAAAGCTGCAGGGAGGTCGTGACGGTGTTGGTTTGCAGTGACCGTGCACGCCCCTGCGCGCTCCCAAACATCTTTAATATAGTTGTGTGTAGATTGTAGCCCCGTCAACAGGCTGGACCAGGATGCTGCTGTGTTGTTTGTCACCTTAATGACTCGAAATAATGATGAGAAATGTTTTGAAATGATAAAAAGAGGCAGTTTGTTGGCTGTGGAGTGAAGGAGGCCCGAGCAAAACACAAGCTCCCACTAGTTGTCGTTTCTCTGGTGGATTTATAAAGGGACTGAGGGACAGTGGAGACTCTGTCTGTTTCCCACCTGTCTTGTGTTTCTTTGTCTTCTTCCTGACAGCTGTGTCTTTGCTGCACACTGGTTGGTGGTGAGGATCAGAGCAGTAACAGTTGAGGCTTCTGGTTTTTTTGGTGGAAGAAGGGGGGCGCGAGCCCTAGCAGCTGTCTGTCACCATCCCATCAAGCTTTTATTTCATCCTCTCCCTTTTCATGAATCCAAACTTAAAGTGAGGACTGTAGATCTGCCTACTGTCTACTACCACTTATTTCTTTTTCAAAGCCTTTTGCAAAAGACTCTTTAAACTGCAGTTTTCAAAGGCTAACATATGTAAAATAACATCTTTATATACATGCAAGATCTTGCTTACAACTCAGGGTTTTATCATTCATAAGATTCACTTGCAGAGATAAAAAGTCACTCCTCATTTGATTGTGGTTTTAAAGATCTGACTGTGGTGTTTCTGACCTTTGGCTCTCCTGAAAGGCTTCATCTGTTCACTTTTCCATGGTGGAAGTATTGATTTGAATGACACACGCATGCAGCACACACGCCCTGGGCTGGTGAGTGTGGCTGCGATATCCTAACTTAGCTTATACCTGCTGTTTTGAGCCCTGGGTGGAAGTGCAGGGGTCAGCAGACGCTGGGTCAGAGAGGTCACGAGGGCACAAGGTCCCCTCCTGTTGACCTGGGCCAGAAAGTGAATGCACATCATAATGAGTATGTGTTTTAATCTCCCTGATGAATCTACTACAGAAAAAATATGCTAGTTTGATAATCGATTAATTGTTCAAATCATGAGTCATGAGGTCTTAAGTCATGAGGATTTGCTGATTCTTGCAGTTTTAAATGATCATAAAGTCTTTATATATTTGGACTGTTGGTCAAAACAAGTTACTTCAAGAAGTCGCACTGGGTTTTATGATCTTCTGCTGGGTGTTTTTAACAGTTTTTGTTTTGTGATATTTACGGACCAAAAGATTTATCAAGCAAATAATTTGATAATAAAAAATGATTGCACTAGATCAGATTAAAACACCCTCTATGTCTCTGCTGTTTCTTGAACTCTGCAGCTGAGCTTTGCCGTACGTGCATTCAGTGTTATCAGTCTCCAAAGAGGGGAAAACGATCATCCTGTTGCTGCTGCAGTTGCTGGGAGCAGCACACACACACACACACACACACCTGTTTGTTGCGACAGATGGTCTACAGAGCGCTCCTCTCTGTGTGTGTGTGTGTGTGTGTGTGTGTGTGTGTGTGTGTGTGTGTGTGTGTGTGTGTGTATGTATACAGTGCTGTTGGTCAGCTGCTGCATCTCCCCCTCATCACTGTTATATCTGACTCGGCAAAGCTGACTCAGGACGCGCTCTTATTTAGTCAGGCAGTTGTTTTCCTGTTGAGCCACTAGGCTGGAAGAACTCTTATTTTACTTGGCAAGTGGACTGAGAACACAAACTAAGATAAATTCTGCTGGATATTTAGCCTTATCTTTTTAAATGGATATTTCTCTTGGCAGACATGTTATCCTCTGGTGTTATTTTAAACTTGGTGGTGGGATCACACTGAAACTTTTTAGCAGTTAGGTTGCCAATGTGTAAATTTGTTTTTGAATCACTGATTCACTGTTTGGTGCATCATATAATCAAAAAATGTCCATTAAAATTTCTCAGAGCCCAAAGAGTCAGTTTGAAATATTCAAATTAGAGCTGCAATGATTCGTCCATTCATTTTCTGTCAATTAATCTGCAAGTATTTTGATACTCCATTAACGATTTTGAACATATTTATCTCAAATGTGAGGATTTGATTGGTTTTCTTCGCTAGCGTCAGTTAATTGAATATCTTTGAGGTTTGGATACATCTCCTGGGGCTGTGAGGTGATTTATAGACAAAATGATTCATTGAGAAAATAATTGGCAGATTAATCAATAATGGTGATAATTGTTAGATGCAGTCCTGGTTTGATGTAGAGTGGGTTAAAACTGAAAAAACCCAGCAAACTCTCACATTTGAAAAGCTAAAAACCAGTGAATGTTCTGCTTTTTATTCTTGATAGATGACTAAAACAATAAATCAGTGATCAAAATAAATGAATTTTGTTAATTTTGTGAGATATTTCCATGTCATTTTACTTTCAAAATGATATTTTCTTGTGTTTTTATACAAGCTGTGTATCAGTATTCATGGACAAATGTTCATAACATCATCTTAAACTTCTTTCTTTTCCCAAAATGATATCAGCTTTGAGCTTAATCACTTAATTGATTCTTTGATTGACAGGCAATTAATCAGCAGCTATAATTGACGAGTCATTTCCTTCATGTTGTTCAAGTAAAAATGCCAGACGTTCCCCCTGCCAGCGTTTCACTAAAGAGGATTTTCTGCCTGTCTTTGTGTGTGTGTGACAGGAAGCGGAATATCTTTGGTATTTGGACTGATATTCTTCCACATCAGGCGCTTGGATCAGCTCTGCTGGCTTCCTGCAGCGCCGTTACCCTGTACAGGAGCCTCACCTTGGCCGCTCATATCCATGGTGTCTGCTTTTTGTTTTAATTTCTGTCACTACTGAAACCTTGTCACCACAGCTGTGTGTGTGTGTGTGTGTGTGTGTGTGTGTGTGTGTGTGGGGGGGGGGGGGGGGGGTGAGGGACAGTGACAATGCAAGGTTTGTTTTCTGGCTGTTTGGTGCCATATAACACCCACAATACTGGAACTGATGTCCCTAACCAGACTTCACTTTACATCCAGGCTCACTTTTTTATTAAGAACTTGCTTTTATCTGATCATATTGAAGTTGAAGATCCACTAACTTGTCCAAGAGAGATTAGCTGTAGCCGAACTCGTGCTACTTGGCTTGGCTCCAGAGTCCTCTGCATCTGTTGCAGTTGTATTTTGGGATGTGTTGACAGCTCAGATATTTAGCTTGGTGTGGAGATATCATACATTATTCTGTGTCTCGCTTGGTGCTTTTTTTTTTATGGAACTTCATCCCAGGCTTTATCCAACAGCGAGAGACACTCAACTCCTGTTTGCTTTGCATTTGCATCGTTTGCTTTGTCCCACTCATTGCACTTGCCTTTTCATTCTGCGTGCCATGTACATACTGCATGCATATCCCAGTAGCCTGGTTTGATACAGTTGTGTTGCACTGAAGCAAAAGTGATTCAGTCCATTGTCTTATCCTTTGCACTTTTACTGGCTTTGCAGCATGTGGAACTGTGTAATTGAACTCCTTAATACACATTTGCATCACAGTGACACTGGTGCAAAAGCACAGTTATATAAATATATATATATATATATATTGTATGACTTTGGATATTTTATTAATGCAGATGGGATTGTTTTTATTTTGTCAAATCATTCAGATCCTCTACATGTGTGCATGGGCTGCGTCATGACATAAAAGACAGAAAGGCAAAGATTTGTGCTTCCGAGTCATCTGCCCTAAGTGTGCCGCAACAATGAGGGACAGGTCCCCTCCTCACACTCATCTGGACATAAAACTTTTTGATGTCCCTCGCCCCCCACACTCGCCCTTTTTCCCCTTTCAGCCCAGCCACACTCTCCTCTTTACTCTTGCACTCTCTTAAAGGCCACGCCAGTCTTTCAGCCCGGCCTTGGTCTTTTCTTTCAGTTTGAACCCCCTCCGCCACCCCCACTTCGCCGCCGGCCCAAGACAAAGAGAGGAGAGTGACTGTGGCGCTCTGTAGCCAGGTGTTCTCCATTGCTGCCCTGGGCCGTAATAGCACCAGCCCTCACACTGCAGCTGCCCTCCCCGGCCTCCCATTGTGTGGCTCTATTGTTCAGCCGCCCACCCCTCGTTGATTCATCGGCCACACAGGGGAAACCCTTTCAGACTGAGGAGAGTGTGTGCGTGTGTGTGCGTGTGTGTGTGTGTGTGCGTGTGTGTGTGTGCGTGTGTGTGCGCGCCGGTGCACGTTGAGTACGCGTGCCTTGGGGAAACTGGGTGTTGCAGGCATTTGCCCACAGCCACTCCCCTCCTCCTCCCCTTGTCTCTGCGCCTCATTGTAAGGCCGCCACGTCGTGATTGGTGGAAAGGCAGCCACTCTGAACGAGGGAATGGCAGACATTGTTGGTCCATCTGTTCTGCCACTCATTGTCCAACTTGCTTCTGTAGGAAAGAATACAGCTCTGGAGGACACTCAGACACAGAGGACGGAGGCGCTCGTGGCTGGAGTTGGATGCTCTGTGATTTACCTGCAGCTAAAATAAACACCGGGCTTGGATTTAGCTGCTGTGGGAACTTTGGGATTTTTTTTTTTTTCTGAGTTTCACCTACACTGCTTTACTGTGTGGTTGTCAAGGATTTAAATATGCAGACATGAGCTAATATTCCCTTAAGGCCTGGTAAGTGTGACAAAGTCCTCGTCTGTCTGCATATAACCTGTCTTTTATATTGAAAATCCCCTTTATGTGGCAACTGTGATTTGTAATATCCTTGTCTCATTAATACTAGGGCCACTGGGATGATGCAGGGTTACCTGAATGACAGGCTGTCTCTTCCCAATCAGCCTGTTTGGGCATGTGCACGGGTGCAGCAACATAAGTCACTGATATACCTTAAATGACTGGATTTTCTTGAATTTAAAAACAGGCTTGAGTTTTGATAAGTTTAAACTAACGAGGGAAAAGTCCATTTCTCTGTCTCGCTGGTTTTGGATGTGAAATATTGCAGGCTAGAGATGCAGCTCGCAGGCTGAGTTTGGATGAGGCACAGTAGTGACTTACACTGTCAGTTTAACGTGAAACGCTTGGAGTCATAACTGACTGACTGTACTGCACCTGTTTAAACTTTGCCAGGTCTGTAGCTGTTACACTGGCCCTGCAGTTGTTTGAATTTCAAACAGTGTGATCTGTGTTGATATGAAGCTTGATGTAGTTGGGTTAGGGAGGTGGGGCCCGTGTTGTAGGGTTTTTTGGGGGGAGGTAACAAAAAGCAAGCTTCTTTTTTATCTGGGTCACATGAGGCTCGAGGAAGCAAGAAGTGCTTTGGCTTAAGATATTAGCCCTGGAAAGTGTGTGTGTGTGTGTGTGTGTGTGTGTGTCTGTCTGTGTGTGTGTGTGTCTGTGTGTGTGTGTGTCAGTGCCCGTAGGTCCTGCTGAGTCTTTCTTGTCGCTCTATTGGCTGTGTGGAAGCAGGGGTGTGTGTGTGTGTGTGTGTGTGTGTGTGTGGGTGTGTGTGTGTGTGTGTGTGTGGGTGTGTGTGTGTGTGTGTGTGTGTGTGTGTGAAGGGGAGACACCAGTTGCAAGTACCGCTCAGCAGACATCTGTTGCCCTGCTGCTGGCGGGGAAAGCCTTGCGCGCCATCTAGATGTAAACCCACACACACACACACACACACACACACACACACACACACACACACACAGAGTATTCTGCCCGGGACTGCCCCCTTTTTACAATAAGTTTTGCATAGTGTCGGGCACGCAGTGATGTACCGCCAGACAACCCCCTCTTGTCCTCCTTGTGCCCCCTCTCAGACCCCACCCCACCCCACCCCTTCAAACCCGAAACTCTTTACACCCCCCACCCCCCCTATTGCACACACTTACACAAAGCTCCCACATACAAAGCGCTGTAAGGACTGTGTTACATATTCATTACTGGCTCTATCAAAGCGAGCAGTGCTGCTGTGTGTGGGAGCCGGCCGGCTGATGTTTGAAAGATGCACCCACTCAGCCTGGAGGTCTGGAGATGGTGCGATGAGGTGGCTCTGCTGTTGGTCCGTTAAGATTTGAGCATTCCCACAATGCCCTGAATGCATCGCTCTGTGGAGCTGCGACCACACCAGAAGACTTCTTTTAAACTATGAAAAGACTGTCATTGAACAGGCTTTAACAGGATTACGATCAGATTTGTAAAGATCGTAACAAAATAAAACGAGGTTTAATGTGGTGGTGATACAGTTGCTCCAAAGCTAGAAATTGGAATTCATAAAATAGATAAATAAAATAGAAAAGATCCAACAATAACTGTTTATTATAATCTGCCATATGTTTAACAGGCCAGTGTTTCCCCTTGTGTTCCATGTGAACATTTGCTCGTTAGTTTATCCGTTAATAATTCGTCTCTGTTATCTGCGTTTTCCCACAGTTTTGTGGTTAATTTAAAGACAGAAGAACTGATAATGAAAATAATCATTAATTGCAGCCTTAGATGAGACGCAGTGTGATCTGTGTGTCTTATCACCAAGACTGAGCCAGGGAAATCCTGAAGAGTACATCCCCGCTTTATTATGTGAATGTATCCCATCGTATAGCGGCTCAGTATTGTATATGTAGTAGTTTTTTTTTGACTGTGATGATCAGTTGTTTGGTACTGATTCAGGATGATCATTTGTAGTTTTTGATACTAGTGCAAATATGATGTGAGTTTGAAAAATATTGTACTTGTAAAATTGTTGAGAAGTGAAAGAGGATAGTGAATCTGACCAGACATTGGGACTAAAGGTTTTCAATAATAATTTTTTGATTGGTTCCAAAAGTAGTGGGGTTTGATGGAGGGATGCACTGATCCACCTTTTTTCTCCAACCTGATGTAATGAGGCTCAATCACATCATGGCCAATACTACATTTAAGGATCTGACTTACTAATGTCAGTATCGGCATCCCCAGTTTGATACCCAGCACTACAGCTGAGTCGTTACTTGTATTTTTAATGTGATGAGCAGCTTCTCCGATTCAGACTCTCTTAAAGCTTTAACTTTCATTGCAGTTGAACGCGAGTGACGATCTCCTTCTGCTTGCGTGTCCGTGTTGCTTATGTGCTGCCTGTGCTTCAGACTGGATGATGTCAAGCGGGAGAGAAACCTGAAGGTAGTTTGGATGTGTCAGTATAGAGCATCAACAGAGTAGAGTGCGCATGAAATGTTCCCCAGTCTCTCCACAGCAGTATGAGTCACTTTTGTGAGGCAGACGCTGCGTATGTGTGTGTTTTCATGTGTGCACGGGCACCATCAACGCCCACTGTGGTTGATGCCAAGTTTCCCCATCCTAATCACTTTTGCAGGTCTATTGTTGTCTTGGGTGGCGGGGGGGTAGGGCGGGTTGCCAGTGAGGCACACTTAAACCCCTCCCTCCCCCACAACAGACCCTTTTTTGCAATGTGTGTGTGTGTGTGTGTGTAAGGTGGGTCGCCGACTGAACGCTTGCAGCCTCTGTCTTGGCATTTGGAAGGGAGAATGCTTTCAACAGCTGTAGCTTAGCAACAGTAGCACGGCCACGTTGCTAGGCAGCCCTTTTTCATAAAATGCGCACTCCCCCCACCCCCTCCCACCCCTCCTACTCACCAGCTTTAAGTCACTTCCCCCTTCCATCATCTGTTTTGTCCTGATAACATGGGTTTGAGTTGTGAGTTGAGAAGATCCAGCCAAGTTTAAATGCTCCAGGCAATGTCCAACTGCGAGATTGCTGATATTGTTTGTCCTTTGTTGTTTTTTTAATTCTATACTGTAACTTTCAATGTCATTTCATGTATGTGAAATACAGTCCAGTCAGAATACACCAGGACCTTTGTCTCTGGAGATTAGATCAGTTTCATGATCTCAGATTAACTTTCCAAAGTGTTCCCTGTAATTTGTGTGCAGCTACACCTTTGACACAAATCAGATTAACCTAACCAGATCCCATGGCTTCAGCGCCTGAATGCAATATGATGATTGGCTCCGTAGCCTCAGAGCCCCTCAGTGTTTTAATGAGTGACTCCACCACCCCAGTGGGGAGAAGCATATGGACCTTAATTACCAGGTAGAATATGAGGGGGAAGGGACAGTTGGCCGCATCGCTAACGGCTTGGTGTCTTTTTTTTTTTTTTTTTAAACGGTTCACCCTCTGTTCCTCCTTAGATTAATGTGCTGTGGCGTGGCCCTATAAAAACACACTGGGGCCAAACTAGAAAAAACGCGGGAGTCCATTAATTAGGGTGAGAGGCCCCCACCAGCTCTTTGTGTCAGCCAGTCTCCGCCTCAGCGGAGTCCCCAACTGCCCGAGACGGCGCGTCAGCCAGTGTAAACAAGACCGCTCACAGCCTCACAGTGTTAGGACGACTGCTTTCCAAGTCAGATTTCCCTAAAATGACACTCAGTGTTGACTCTAAATTATCATGTGACTGACAAGATGAGCTCAATGCAAATTCTCACTTTGCAAATAATTTCTCTGGAATTTCAGACCACTGGTTGCTTTTGTAAAAGACTATTAGACATCATAATGCCATCTCATCATATGTAACAGATAACATTTGAGAACCGGTACTGATCATTGGAGAAGAAAGTGTCAGAAATTCAAATTTTTTGTTGCATTACTTTAATGTATTGCTGTTAATCAGCTTAATTAAGAGGGGACTCGCTCACTCCATGCTCCGTTCTGTCTCCTTCTTTAGGCACCAATGAGTCGAGCTTTGTGAGAGGGCAGCAGTCAGCCCGGTGTGCTGGATGTCTGTGACAGATCCATGGGTCAGAAGGACCATGTGGAGGCAGGAGCTGGCCACATCCTCGACCTGGGGCTGGATTTGGAGTATCTCCACGTAGCAGGGGCTGACCGGCAGGCTGGCGGCGCTGACGGGCCCCCTGCTATGGAGGAGCAGGGGGAAAGCTCCTGTAACCGCAGCACCGCCGATTCCCCTCCGCCGGCTGCGGTGGAGGAAAATGCCGGACCCGACGCCGAGAGCAAGCTGGCGCCGTCTCCCGGCTCTGCCCTCGCTGCCGGGCCGGAAGGAGGAGAGGGAGGATCAACTCACAGTAAGAACACCCACCAGCCGCTTTGTCGGACCCAGTGTGTGGACTTAGGCACCGAGGGGCCTCCTGAGCTCCCATCTGAACTCTTATCAGAGCTTGAATACGACACTCCTGCTCAGTCCCCACCCAGCTCCCCCTGTAAAAACCCACCCGAGCTGCCGTCCCATCCCTCCGAATCAGAGCCAGCGTCCGAGGCTGGCGGGAAGGAGTACCAGGCCAAGCTGGAGTTTGCCCTGAAGCTGGGCTACTCTGAGGAGATAGTGCGACTGGTGCTGTCCAAGCTGGGCCCTGACACCCTCATCAATGACATACTGGGAGAGCTGGTCAAACTGGGCACCAAGTCAGACAGCGAGCAGCCGGCTGGATCATTAGCCTCTACCTCCTCCTCTTCATCCTCCTCTTCATCTTGTGGTTGCTCTGATTTGCTGGACGGCCAGAGGTCGGACTCGCCCTGTCCGTCAGACTCTCTGTGTGACCAGGACAACCTGCGTCCGATTGTGGTGGACGGCAGTAATGTAGCCATGAGGTAAACAGTCTATGGTAACTGTTATAATAAACCATTCAATCACTGTAAAATGTCTCTTATTGATTCCATACAGCTGACTTTCACATCATAGTATGTGAGTTAATTGCCTATATTGCTGTATAGACCTCCACTAAAACCCAACACATTCATTTGCTGTTATCTGCTGCCTTTTTCCTATATCCTGTAGTCATGGCAACAAGGAAGTGTTTTCGTGCCAGGGCATCCAGCTGGCTGTTGATTGGTTCCTAGAGCGAGGCCATCATGACATCACAGTGTTTGTGCCTGCCTGGAGGAAAGAGCAGTCCCGCCCTGATGCCCCGATAACAGGTGAGAGCACGAGGCTGTTAGACACAAACACACGCACATGCACCGAGGCCGTTATGAGATCATACTGACCTCACCGTAATTCCCTCCTCCACAGATCAGGAGATCTTGCGTCGCCTAGAGAAAGAAAAGATCTTAGTCTTCACTCCCTCACGACGCGTCCAAGGTCGGCGCGTGGTCTGCTATGACGACCGCTTCATCGTCAAGCTGGCCTATGAGTCAGACGGCATCATCGTCTCCAACGACAACTACAGAGACCTGGCTAATGAGAAGCCTGAGTGGAAGAAGTTCATTGACGAGCGGCTGCTCATGTACTCCTTTGTCAACGACAAGTAAGTGGGAGTGGATCAGTGAGGGGGAGACTTGGTGAATGTGAATGACAGAAGAAAGGTGTGTGACTACAGTCTCTTAGCTTAACAAATGTTTTCACTTGGTTTTAGATGAGAGAGTTAAATCTCAGTTTATTCTGTCCACCTCCACTTTACAGTTCCCCCCAACCCCAGAAATGTGCACCAACTTAAAAGAACACTACTGTCTCACTGACTAACGATGTAATTATCTTGTTCTCTGTCATCCCTCCTTGCCGTCTCTCAGATTCATGCCCCCAGATGACCCTCTTGGTCGTCACGGCCCCAGCTTAGACAACTTCCTGAGGAAAAGACCTGTCATGCCTGAGCAGAAGAAACAGCCGTGTCCTTACGGTGGGTACACAGATATTCACTGCATTACAGAATGTACAATATGGTGCATCTAAAAACTCTCCAGGAAATTTGTTATTTTTTTTATAATAATAATATTAGTTATTTCATTTCTTTCCCTTTAAGACCAAGTAAACAATTTAAAGGAAGTTACAATCCTACTGATAACATTATGTGAGTGAGTTGTGTCTTTGAAATGTTTAAACAATTGTCACATATTGACTTATGTTACATAATGTTTGTTGAGACCTTGTGTATATTTATTATGCAATGAAACCGAGACCTTGTGTCTATTGGTTACAGGAAAGAAGTGCACTTACGGTCACAAGTGTAAGTACTACCACCCAGAGAGAGGGGCTCAGCCTCAGCGTGCCGTGGCTGATGAGCTGCGAGCCAGCGCCAAGACCTGTGTGACCACAAAGAACCAGGGAGACACTGGGCTGGTGAAGAGCCACAGTGTGCCAGCTGGAAGCATCGAGGCAAAAAAAGGTGCCCCGAAAAGGCAGTCAGACCCCAGCATCCGAGCTCTGTCGTACAGTGACGCTGAGGAGAAGCTGCTGGCAAAAGGGCGGGTGGAGAGCCAAAAGAGCAGTTTGTGTGGTGCTGGTAGCAGCAGCAGTAGCAGTTCTAGCAGCAACAGCAGTAATTGCAGTGGGAGTATCACCATGTCCCCGGCCCCAGGAGGCCCTCCATCCAGCCTTAGCCTTCCCCAGGACCAACAGTCCAGAGCAGCCACTCCTCACGGCCTCCTTCCAGCCCCCAGCCATGACCTTTACCCTCACTGTGAGTCCCCCGACCTGAGCTACTACTCAGTAACACGTGCCTACTCTGGCCTGAGCCTGTCCTCCAGACGGAGCCCCGACTGTCGCTTCCCCAACGACACAGACCTGCGGTTGGGCTCGATGGGCTCAGCAGGCTCCGAATGCGGCAGCGAAAGCAGCGCGAGTTGTGGGAGCAGCTGTGACTCGTACAGCGAGAGGCCTTGTCCCGGATGCCCCCCAGACACCTTACTGGAAGACAGCATGCATTTCAATAATCCCCACAGTCGGCTGTATCCCCACCATTCTTCATCAAACCACGAACTCTGTGGCCTTCATCCTGCCGATTACACAAATATCCAGCACAGCCACACGTCTAACACCAGCGTTCACAGTTACCACATGAGTGTGACACGTGGGCAGAGCTGTGCTCATGATCAGCCTCCACCAGAGGCTCCCTCCAAGCGCCCCCTCTACCCCTTACCCCCTCATCTGCAGCACCAGCCGCTGACCGCACGCTCCAGCTGCCCGGGCGACTACCACTCTCTGCCCCAGTCCAACCCCCACGCCCCCGGTTCTCCTCTTGGCCGCTGCCTGGCCCCCACGCGAGCAGAGAGCGTGTCAGACTCACATCTGTATGAGCACCTCTCTACGTCGCACCATCACCACCGACCAAAAGCTCTGCCCAGCTGGGACACATACTACAGACAGCCGCCGCTGCCACCATCCAGGTATGAACCGTCTGCCTATCAGAGTCTGCCAGACACACGCCAGTCCTCCTGGCACACCCTTCCCTGGTCACAGGATGGCTACACCCAGCACCACTCCTCTCACCCAGCTCTCCACCCGTCCCCGACACATTACCTAAACCACCCACCACCTCCCACCCACTCTCCTCACCCACCTCATCCATCCAGCACTCCTCTGCCGGCTTACCCGCCTCACAGCACTCACCTCGCAGTGCCCTCCCACGCACCTTCCTCCTACATGCCGCAGCACTCTGAATCCCCTGCACATGGCCACTATGGCGACGTGAGGGAGAAAGTGTACGTCAACCTGTGCAACATCTTTCCCTCTGAGCTGGTGAGTCGGGTGATGGCCAGGAGCCCCCACAACACAGACCCCCAGCAGCTGGCAGCCGCCATCCTGGCAGAGAAGGCACAAACAGGCTACTGAGGAATCCAAATGTGGTTAGAAAACAATAGAGGTTCTGCATTCTGAGTAGAAATTTGAAGACACAAACTAAGCGGTTGGTATCTGCAGACAAACAGGAATCTGCCATTGCAACACTTGACAGTTGGGTCTGCATGGCGGAGTACTGGAATTCTTTTGGATTGTCTGCAAGGAGAGCATTTCCTTTCTTATGACATTAAATGAGACAATGCAGAATTTTCAAGGATATAAAATGCTGAAGATAATCCAAATCCAGCTCTAGTCACTGTGCAGCGACAACTACATCAACTCAACGCGTGGGGAGAGGGAGTCGAAATCTGTGACTTTGACACAAAGTGTGACTTGAAAAGATTGTTCTACACCTGCTCTTTGTTTTTTAAATTCATTTCGTAGCTTAATATGTGTGTCTTTCACATGCAAGACTCATTATGCATCAAAATGTTAAGGCACTTTTTTTATTTTACAGCCCAATCACGACCTAATGAATTGGTTTTACACACATCAAATGTGACCGATATGAAGGATTAGTTGATCATTTCCACCACCTTTATGACCAGATTCTGAGTTTTAGAGAATACGCATACACACCGTGTGCACTGTACTTACTCTCAGACCTGAGTCAAGCAGTGTTTGAAAATGTTTTCTTGCACGTGTGTAGCGCCAGATTGATAGGAGTGTCAGTCGCAGATAAGTATTCAAACTTAATTTCACATATTTTCCCGTGAGGTGGCAAATCCTCATCTGGTACACATGACTGTTTCAAACGACTATTTGACCAAGGTCTGTGTATAATATTAATCTCTTTGTGTGTGTGTGTGTGTGTTTGTGTGTGTGTGTGTGTGTGTGTGTGTGTGTGTGTGTGTTGTGCGGCCGTTGTGTGGGGTTCTTCTCCATGTTGGTTAAAAAATAGGTGTCTGAAAGATGGTCGTCTCATTTGAGATGACGTCAGTATTTTGGTCAGAGTTGTAGCTGTAGAGATGGGTGACCCTGTCGTGTGTACCTTAGTTTTAGTAAGGGACATCTCTCTCTCTATCTTTCTCTAACTCTTTCTCTAACTCTTTCTTTCTCTCTCTCTCTCTCTCTCTCTCTCTCTCTCTCTCTCTCTCTCTCTCTCTCTCCCTCTCTCTCTCTCTCTCTCTGGCCCTTTATTTTGGGTCAAATCTGGTTTCTGCTACAGACAGAGAACATCTCGACATCAGTATAAACAGAACTTGTATGTATTGTAAATATATTTAACAGATTCCCCTGCTGTGCTTTTGGCTAACAGCGTCTACTGTTGTCTGTAGCAGATCCCAGCTGAATCCATGCTAGACAGAGAAAAACCTTGTTTGATACAAATTGTATCATTAACTAAGTCGCTGATGTTATATACAGTACATGGACTTGTTGATCCGTATTTATCAAACACTCTTGATGTATTGCTATATGATGAAGTGCATTGACAACACTTGTTCCAACTTTTAATCTTGTGGAAATAGCTTTGAGACAATTACTTCAAATATGTTATGAAACAAAAGGGGTTGTCTGCCTACTATGTTTAGGTATCGCAACTTCTTTATCTGCGCTTTCGGGTTTGAAGCTGGCTTATTTTCTACAGGAGCTCCAATAAAATCACATGTGAGAAATATGTTTTGGGTTACTGGTTGATGGACGTAACTGCCCATTCGAGAAAGAAGGTGAATTGTACTGTTCTTTTTCACGGTGGTTGAGGTTGGGGTCAGTTCATCTTAACGCTTCTTTTAGCCTCTTTAAGTCAGGAAGTGGATAAGTTATTAAACTTTATGCTTGAAGTAATAGTGAACCGATTTATTATCATTAACCATCTATTAATCATGAATTAAGTGGACAGACCCCAACCATGTGTAATAAGTAAAATTTTATATTTGGGTCAGTCCCATATTCAATGGCGGCCATTTTGAATGTCTGTAACACTCTACCGTATTTGCAAATATATAAAGCTATTTCTTCCCTGAAGTGTTTAGATAGAAGCAGAATTTGTACGGCCAGTAAAGAAATGTCAAACAACAACCACAACTGACCTGGAAACTGCTTTCCAGACAAAGTCAAGTGTGAAAAATATTAAATAGGATATTTGGATATTAGAAATTAAAATTCTGACATATGTTTCCCTTTCATTAGTAGGCTGATAAATGTCCTCAATGTAGCATTAACCTGGCCACGGCTGTTTTTAGACTTAAATGTATGGCCAGATTAAAATAATAATCTACTATGTATCAGTCTGCATTCTCGTGACTATTTTTATTATTCATGAATCAGTAATTAACGTTTGTTTTACATAGCATGGCTATATATGGGTAGAGCCCACCGACAGTGGAAAGCAAGTTCAAAATGGCCGCCAAGGAATTAAAGTCTACACAGTGAGCTCGTCATACAGTTCATCACAAGCCAGCTACATATAGCCCACTGGTTTCTTTCCTGTCCAACGTGTCATATTGTACAAATAACCAATACCTGTACAATAGCACGTGCTGTTGATGAGAGAGAACCTTTGTGTGTATTGAAGAAGCGCCTTCTCTCTGGCCTCCTGGCACTGTGTGTCAGTGTGGCACCCGAGCGTGGGCCCAAAGTAATGCCTCTACATGGCATTGTGCTTATGACACATCCAATACTCTGAACTATGTTCAGCTAACTCTTATGCATGTTTTGATTTGTTTTGGTTTCTGCATGTATCCTTGTGTTTAATTTGTGTACAAAGCTGTGTTTCTGTCCTGGACTTTAGTCTGGCCATTACTGTGACATGATGCTAGCTGTTGAGATGCTTCTAGATTTAACTGTACACAAAACTGGCTTGTTTTTCTGGTCATTAATTTTTATTTCATATATGAGTTAGTATAATTTCACGAAATCACCCTTCTTTAACATACAACTTAAATCAAGTGGGAATGCTGTCTTTTTTTCTGTAAGGCTTGACATTTACTCCAAAGGATTACGAAGCATGTTTTGGAATGCGTCCCACTTTTCTCCAACATTGTTTATTTTGAAAGTGCACTCGGCCATAGATAGTGATAATGGAAATGTGCTGTAGATATTACAATGCTATACAGGCCACTACTCTCTAGTAATGAAAGTCCTCTTTCAAATTATATTTACATTTTGCCAGTAGAATAACAGTGTAACTAATGGATTATTGTAACATTCTCAACTATACCTGTGATTGTTCATTAAAGAGAGTACTGCTCTAAAACATGTGGTATCCGTTGCCTTTGTTCTAGGTATCGTACACTACTCTAGCATACAGTTATAAAAGAAAAGGATTTGAATGTATTTTTTGTGCTTTACACTACTGTATTATTTTCCTGAAACAGTGTTGTATTACAATTGTTTCAGTAATCATATTTTTCTTATTACAGAAAATTGATAGCTTAAACAGTTGTTTGCAATAGTGGAAAGTGACAAAGTACATTTACTCAAGTACTGTACTTAAGTACAGTTTGGAGGTACTTGAGTAGTTCCCTGTTATGCTACGTAATACTTGATTTCAGAGGAAAATATTGTTCTTTTTACTCCAAGAATTATTTGACAGTTTTAGGTAGTTTACTGGTAACTTTTAAGATTAAGATTTTATGTGAATTAACTATTACTATTAATGTGCATACATGTAAAATACTATATATAAATGTATAGCATTTAGAGGTGAAAAACGTTTGTCATTCAGTTATGGTGGTGTCAGAAAGATAGATGCAGAAGAGTCTCACAGCATGTGGGAAAAATCAGCGGATGCCCCTGCTGTCACTGGAGCGGCTGTTGAGCTTCTCAGAGGAGAATAGTATTTACCCAACCTTCCCTCTGTATGACTCCACCTGGTGGATAATGGAACAATAACAAACATGTACACTTGAAGCATGATTGGGGAAAAAAACTACTCTAAAAAATGAAAAAAATCAAATTGATGTTATAGGTTTGTCAAAATCTCAAAATCTGCACCTTCAATTAGCCTACATTAATCTGTGGATTAAAAAAATACTTATTCAAATGTGCTTCCTGCTTCATAAATTGAGAAGATTGTCATTAGTGACCACTTAAAGTTCATATGATTGGCTGACATTTCAACATACAACCTGTACAACTGCTGTTTCAGGCAGCAGCCAAACACCCCTCTGTTCTCTACCCAGCTTAGTACGATCCAGGTTCCCCCTTGTATAAATCACATTGGATTCACCTACCTCCTGTTTGGCAGTCGGACCTTTCACCTTGGCTTGGAGGGAGCACGGATGGGAGCACATGCTACAAACATTTGGGTAATTTCAATTCAATTAAATATCACTAAAAAACTATCAAAATAAGTAACATTTAATGTCTTTGTGTAGCTCTTCCATTAACTTCCAAGTCATGTCAAAGGAAATCACAACTTAGTACTCTCAAATTCAAAATAACCAAATTATTCACACTTAGCTAACTTAGCAAGCCCAGTTCACCCCACATGCTCAAGCTTCTCTGTTGACTTTCAAACATCTTAACTCATGTTATCCTTCATAGGAAATGTAGGAAGAGGCAAAGAAAACTCAAAGCAAAGGTCCAGAGGGGAAGACGGCCTACAGTGCTTTGGTGAGGAATTTTACACCACATTTGTGTTTGTGTGCACTTCAGGTCTTCTGTCCCCTTTTCTCTCTTCATTCAGCAGCCTGGACACAAAACACACTTACATAAATAAACATTGCTTGTTGCTTCTTTTAATGCAAATCACCACCAATCACCTGTATGGAGCCACGACTCAACCACTTCAATATTTAACAATAAAACACACTCTAAGGCTCATTTTTTACATTGATCACTGCAGCTCAAACATTTACAACACCTCAAAACACTCAAATTTGCTTTATTTCTTCTCACAGGCGGAGACGGCTGTTTCTCAACATCGCACTCAACTGCGTCAGGACCGTGACTGTCTGCACAGCAGTAAGAGGATTTCTTTTATCTTCACATCTTTTACTCTTACACAAACACAAAGTGCCACAGAGAGATTTCATTTAGCAAAAATATTTTACATAATACATGCATTTTCATCTCAATTAAGTCTACCCTCCAAGCCCTACAAAACATACAAACCACCACCTGTAATTTCACATCACTTCTTCTCAATAAAACTCACACTTCCCCAAATCTAGGACAAATCTCCTCATCCAAATTTCACTTGGCTTTGCTGTTATTCATTGCAATTAATCATCAAAACTCTTACCAGTTATTAAGAATATCATTTGGGCATCATCATTCATACCAGTGTCATATGTAACCCTTCTATCCATGTTCATTTTTCACACAAGGATCATGGCTCAATCAGCAGGCCTCAGCTCTGACCACCTCCTGTCATGTCACCTTTGCTCAACTGTCTGGACCCTCTGGACCACCTGGACAACACATCACGTAGGTCACATTTTTACAAACCTCATATCAATTCATCTGCAATCAATCCTACATTCACAATGCACTTTATACTTTTAGATTCACTCTTTTTGCTGCTACAACGGTATGTCACCATTTTACTCTGCTCTACAACCTTTAAATCCATATTACATTTAAAATTACATTCAAGTACAAAAACTCATCACACAATAGTCTTCATTTTTATTCAACTCAGCATATCTTACTTTTCAATTCATTTTCATTTCATAGATACTGCTAATTTACTATTTACTATTACTATTACTTATTCAGAAGATCCCAATGAATATTACGAACAAGAACTTGTGTACCCGGCCCGGAGGGATACCGGGGCTCCGCCCTGGAGCCAGGCCTGGGGTTGGGGCCCGTGGGCGAGCGCCTGGTGGCCGGGCCTTAGCCCATGGGGCCCGGCCGGTTGTCGGTGCTTATGCACCTAACAGCAGTTCAGACTACCCGCCCTTTTTGGAGTCCTTGGGACGGGTGCTGGAAAGTGCCCCGAAAGGGGACTCCATTGTCTTATTGGGAGACTTCAACGCTCACGTGGGCAATGACAGCATGACCTGGAGGGGTGTGGTCGGGAGGAACGGCCTGCCCGATCTGAACCCGAGTGGTGTTCAGTTATTGGACTTCTGTGCTAGTCACAGCTTGGCCATAACTAACACCATGTTCAAACATAAGGATGTCCATAGGTGCACATGGCACCAGGACACCCCAGGTTGCCGGTCTATGATCAACTTTGTAGTCGTATCATCAGACCTGCGGCCGTATGTTTTGGACACTCGGGTAAAGAGAGGAGCAGAGTTGTCAACTGACCACCACTGGTGGTGAGTTGGATCAGATGGCGGGGGAAGACGCCGCGCAGGCCTGGCAGGCCCAAACAGGTTGTGAGGATCTGCTGGGAAAGCCTGGCGGAAGAACCCGTCAAGATGATTTTCAACTCACGCCTCCGACAGAGTTTCGATTGCGTCCCGAGGGCAGTATGGGACATTGAGTCCGAATGGGCCTTGCTCCACTCTGCTGTTGTTGAGGCGGCTGTTGCGAGCTGCGGCCGCAGGGTAGCTGGGGCCAGTCGTGGCGGTAACCCCCGTACCCACTGGTGGACACCAGAGGTGGGGGAAGCTGTCAGGCTGAAGAAGGAGGCCTACAGGGCGTGGTTGACCTGTGGGTCTCTGGAATCAGCTGACTGGTACCTGTGGGCCAAGCGGAGCGCAGCCGCGGCAGTTGCTGAGGCAAAAACTCGGGCGTGGGAGGAGTTCGGTGAGATTATGGAGGAAGACTATCGATTGGCTCCAAAGAGGTTCTGGCAAACCGTCCGGCGCCTCAGGGGGAAGGCGGCAACTCGCTCACACTGTTTACAGTGGGGGCGGGGAGCTGCTGACGTCAACTGGGGATATAGTCGGACGGTGGAAGGAATACTTTGAGGAGCTCCTCAATCCCACCAACACGTATTCCGTGGAGGAAACAGAGCCAAGGGACCTGGGGATGGATGGTCTAATCTCCGGGGCAGAAGTCGCTGAGGTAGTGAAACAACTGCGCGGTGGTGGAGCCCCGGGGGTTGATGAGATCCGCCCTGGGTATCTCAAGGCTCTGGATGTTGTAGGACTGTCTTGGTTGACACGCCTCTGCAACATTGCGTGGACATCGGGGGCAGTGCCTCTGGAGTGGCAAACCGGGGTTGTGGCGAATACAAGCGGCCGAAATGAGTTTCCTCCGCAGGGTGGCCGGGCTCAGCCTTAGAGATAGGGTGAGGAGCTCGGCCATCCGGGAGGAGCTTGGAGTAGAACCGCTGCTCCTCCATGTCGAGAGGGGCCAGTTGAGGTGGTTTGGGCATCTGATGAGGATGCCTCCTGGACGCCTCCCTGGGGAGGTGTTTCGGGCATGTCCAACCGGGAGGAGGCCTCGGGGCCGACCAAGGACACGCTGGAGGAATTATATCTCTCGGCTGGCCTTGGAACACCTCGGGATTCTCCCGTAAGAGCTGGTGGAAGTGGCTGGGGAGAGGGCTGTCTGGACCTCTTTGCTGAGGCTGCTGCCCCCGCGACCCGGATCCGGATAAGCGGGAGACGATGAGTACGAGTGCGAGTATTACTATTACACACAAAAACTCTAAAAGATTATACCTCTAATCCTCTTTCTACCACAACAAAACAGTCAAGATGAGTGTTTTTACTATTTTTGATGTATTTCTTCTTACAGGTGGAGACGGCCCTCTCTGAACATCACACTCAACTGCGTCAGGACCATGAAAGCAGGAGGAGCTGGATGACTGTCTGCAGAGCAGTAAGAGGATTTCTTTTATCTTCACATATTTTACTCTTACACAAACAAGGTGCTCACTTTCATCAGTAGAGAGAGACTTCGTTTGGGAAAAAATACATGCATTTTCATCTCAATTTAGAGTACCCTCCAAGCCCTGAAAAACATACAAACCACCACCTGTAATTTCACATCATAGACATCACTTCTTCCTCTCAATAAAAATCACACTTCCCCAAATCTACCACAACTCTTCTTATCCAAATTTCACTTGGCTTTGGTATTATTCCTTGGAATTAATCATCAAAACTCTTACCAGTTATTAAGAATATCATTTGGGCATCATCATTCATAGGAGTGTCATATGTAACCCTTCTATTCATCTTCATTTTTCACATAAGGATCATGGCTCAATCAGCAGGCCTCAGCTCTGACCACCTCCTGTCATGTCACCTTTGCTGGACCCTCTGGACCACCTGGACAACACATCACGTGGGTGACATTTTTACAAACTTCATATCAATTCATTTGCAAGCAATCCTACATTTACAACCTTTACATTTGTACTCTATATTCTTGCTCTTTGGTTACATGCCTCTTTTAGACTAAGTCTTTTTGCTGCTGCAACGGTATGTCACCATTTTCTTCTGCTGTACCGCCTTTAAATCCATATTTAATTTTAAATTACATTCAATTACAGAAACTCATCACACAATAGTCTTCATTTTTATTCAAGTTAGCATATCTTACTTCTCAATTCATTTTCATTTCATAGATTCTGCTAATTTACTATTTACTATTACACACAAAAACACTAAAAGATTATACCACTAATCCTCTTCTCTATAAATGCAGCTGGAACCCTCCACTTCCTCTTTGGCAGTTGGCCCTTCCACCTCCAACTGACTGGACCGGACCGGACCAGACCAGACCAAACGCCGCGGGACAACCATCTGCTGGTAACTATTGCTTAACATATCAACACATTGATTAGATTTTGTGTTTAACGTGTCAGGCCACATTTTCGTTCTTAACATCTTATTTATATGTGTAAAGTACATTCTTATCTTTGCTAAAGAAAATTCATGCTTCAACTAAACCACTATTCTAGCTTAGTTACACCTGTTTGTGATTCTTCAGTAGTGGAAACTCCAAAGATACACTTGTGTTTGAACAAATTTAAAATGTCATGCAGTAAAAAGTTGCTTTAAATTTGCAAACAAATCCAACATAACAGTCTTACAAAAGTAGTTCTTGTTACGTAGCAGGCTTGTACGATGACGTAAGACACTAGTGAAATGCGACAAATAGAGATTTGTTAGTGCAGGTTTTTGACTGAATGATGCC